AAATGATTATCTTTCTCTTCATAATGCGTCATGGCATTCTACAAATACTGGATTTAATATATTCCTTCTTCCAAGTATATATACAAGGAGGAATAAGTAACATCTATTTTTAATTATATTAAAAAATTGAAACGAATAAATATCAAATATATTAATTTTCTTTTTTCAGGTAAGCAATATCATATTTAAATCCTCTTTATAAAAAGGAAGTAAGGCTACTTGCAGGTGAGATCTTTCAATCGCGACGGGAAATCTCTCATTAAACACTGAAAATAGCAGTTAACAGATTTGAGAAAACATTGTTCACACGCCACATGCGATCAGAGGCGGGGAATATCAAGTGACAATTTCTACGGTCGTCGCGCAAGTCTAGGGTCAGTTAGCACGTGCGGATCAGTAAAGCTTCCGCTTATTCAGCATGATTCAATCACATTTCATTCATCCCCGCGGCGCCTATACACACAAATACTCTTATAACGACTTGGACGAGCGACGCTACGCCAGCATGAAATAATGTCTTAAACACGTGTCACATAACATGCTCAATTCAAAAGTGAAGATACGATTATTATTGAGAAAAGAATGCATATAAAATAAAGACATAAGTGTGTGACAAAGCGTTAAAATATCTTTAATGAAATAATCGATATTACTATTGAAAACCTATGTAAATACAATTTTTATTTTAATATAAATTATATCGTAATTATTTTATTTTATTTTAATATAATTATATGAAGTTAAAATTAATGAGTATCAATACAAACTATGTCAACAAAGCGCAATGTACTGAAACGATGGACGGAACGTGTATTCTGGTCGATCTACTATCTCGTATTCCAGAACGCGATCGGGGTTATTCACATTCTTCTCGCGTAATAAACACGCGCTCACGCACGCACCGAGGACGCGTACGCGATAAGGACATCGTATCACCTGCCAATTAAAAAACCAACAAGATATATCGCGAACGCATCGTGGCTTAACGCGTTTCGAAGTGTTGGCGATAATCTTCTCGATCGATACGCCGTAATTATCTAACACGATGGAGAATAACGAGAGCTGTGGGAAATAACAACGCTAACCACTTTGACACCACCAACGGCTCTTAACGAGAACAAGCGTAATTCTGTGACCCAGAAATGGAAGAAAAGATATGATGCACATACAGGTGGTACCATTCGTCCTTCGTCGACTCGTCCTTCTCTGCTTCTGCTAAGTCAGCTTTACAATAAATTATTCCCATTCACCACGCACATTGTAACGCTACTTAGCAATCTTCGGAGGAGAGAAGATCGCGCCGGAGGAGAATCGCGCGCGCGTCGTAAGCGAGAAACACGAGCACCGCTTTCGCAATTCCGTCTCCTGTTCCCGATTCGAGCAAATACAGATGTTCCCGAAGATGCGGCGGCATTATCGCGACTTGTAGATAACGTTTGCTCGCGTAAGCGCGATGGATGTGTTTAAACAATGTGAAAACACCATCGCCGATAACATGAGGCGACAGGCATCGACGACACACGACGGCTCAACGCGATCACCGGCGCGATTATTTACAGTGCGGTAATTTATGCCAATTAACCCTCTTGTCCCTAGTTAGATCAGCTTTAGTGAAATTAATTCGAGAGTCGCGAGAAACGGAGAGATTCGACCACAATGAGACTCTAATAATGATATAATTCCTTATATCGTGGAAAAGCAAATCAGTCATTTTAATTATCGGGTTGAAAAAAAAAGAATAGATGACGATAAAAAATATTTTAGAGATTATCAAGATTATCGTGTCACATTGTCAGGAAGCGCCATGCAAGCGAATTGTGAAATAATAAAAGGAACCGTGACGTTAAAGATTCTTATTTCCCCAAGACAATAAAATGTGCCTCATGCATCGTGCATTTTATTACGCGTGCAACCTTGGCGAAATATATGTGTGTAACATTAACAAGCCGCGATAAATCTACCGGCTCGCCGTCCAGAAATTAAAAAGTGCAGTAAATTTCCATGCAGCATTATAAGAAACGCCAAAGTAATTACCTAGCAAAGAAACTTGAATCCGAAATTAAATTTTATCGATAAAACAACTTTAATTCGAAATTAAATTTATAAAGACGAAAGGAAAAAAACGTTTTCGGAAGTGCGCTGTGGCTTTTAATTTTTGCGAGGGCTCGGAATTACGGTAATTCCCTGTCTTTTAATCAAGGCTTTATTCTCTCCCCAAATGATAATGAAGAGCGCACGGTGAGTAATCACCGCGCAGCATAATCACGCGTCATCGACGAGAGGAAGGAAAAAAAAGGCACGATTTCTCGTTATTAGTCAGCTGACACGTATCAGCGCGCAAAGAGACGCGTCATCGCCGAGAGAGGAGACGATACGATCAATGAGAAAACAACCTGGACGTCGTTGCTGTACACGTCCACACAGCGGAGATAAAAAAGAATCATTTTGACGATCGAATCCTAAATTACTTCCTATCGCTGTTAGCGCTATCTGCCTAGTAATTCACGCGTAAGCGCACCTCTTATCGCTGTAAAATCTCCCTGCGATCACGCGCAGCGTAAATCACGGCGGGCTCGATTACAATTACAAAAAGGTATTTATAGATCCGCACGCGGCCATCGGTCTCCCTCCTCGTAAATACAATCGAACGTATACGAGCGTTACGCTCACGTGAGTCAAGCATGCACGAGCGCGCGCGCATAATTATGAGAATAAATGCTTGAAACTGTGTAAAGTTCATAAAAATACTACATATAAGATGAGTGATATTTTGCGCAAGATAATATCCGAGTATATTGTACGAGAAACATTGTTCTCGTATCACGTGTTGGATTTAACGGGACGATTTTACGGACGAGTAAGTGTAAGGTTGCGCCAAGCGTACGAGAAGGACGCTAATATTCGAAAATTAACGCTGACGTGAATATGTGTGAACAATTGTGCCGTACGTAATTAATTTTCACTATGCCGTTTCGCGATGGGGAAAAGCACGTGTCGGCACGTATGTTCTCCTCTGTGTCGTTCTCGATATCTCGCATTTCTAGCTTCGGTTACTTTTATTCCAGCACATCGATCATTTGAAATAGCTAAAAGAGCACAGCGAAACGGCGGGACTGTTCGGCGGAGAGAAATAACTAATTACGACAGGATGACGCATGTGCATTCAATAACAGCGCACCTGTTTGTATTTGCGTGAACGTATCATAAAAGCAGGAGAGTATGTGCGATGCAATGCAAAAATAAGGCAATCATGTGCCATAAATAGCGTATTTTCTCTTCATAAAAAAAAATATATATAAAATTTTTATATTTTTTATATATTTTTACATTTGATTCTATAAATTTGTAAATATTATGAATATATGAAAAAATTTATTTTTACATATAATATTTTAAATATATGACATTTTAATACAGGAATAAATTCACAAATTATTATTTTCAATAGAGTAAAGCCGCATCCTGAAGAATCGTACAAACTTATACTTATTTTCGATATATACAGTTTAAAAAATAAATTTTTTTTCGGAAATTAATGAATGATGTATAAAACATAGCACACACACGTTAAAGATTCAAAAATTGACCGGAAGCACGCTGATATCATATATACTTGCCCTGCTAAGTAATTATATTTTATAGTATTAGTGTGTTTAGGAAAGCTGGTAAGATTCCGACATGACGAATCGGCGTGTAAAAAATACTCGGCATTGGTACATCGCGGTTGCTGCGTGTCGAGGTGACCGCGCGCGTACATGTCTCTCGATCTTGCGAACGTGCCGGACACTTTCTAGCATGGACGGACGTAAATATGCGAGCAAGCGCAACGATGACACGAATCCAACAGGTGGACTCTCGTAGCGTGACGTTAAATTCCACGGGAATGCCACGGATTCCTTCGATACGGGCGCGCGTCGGCACCGTCCCGACTTTCGAAACCGCTGAGGAAAACACAATTAACCGCATGTACGTTAATCCCCCCCCCCCCTCCCGCCGCGATTTGCCCGAAAACAGCAAAATGTGACATCTTCCGGAATGTAAAAATATAATAAAAAGTTGCTAACATCCAATGTTTCTATGGGAATTTATTTTGCTTTAGCTGTTACGCAAGCAGGAGGAAAATTAATGCTGAAAGAAGCCTGCACGATCGGGCTTCTTGCGTAATCATTCGACGAGGAAATCACTGATAATCGCGCCAGATTAGAACTTCATTAATATGAGAAATATTCTATTGAATAATTTTTTTTACGTATCATTATAAAACCGATCATGTACATACGGGTATCAAGGTGGGATTAAGATGTACAGGAGCGGCAAATATCTTTCATTTGCAATGCAATCATTAATGCCGCATTCGTGATTTCTACGCCACGTTATTCCGAGAACTTCAATACTCGTCCACGATCATATTTACTTAAACCGTCCGTGATTTCGACTCGAATCTAATTAACGGCGCCCATTATTCGAATTTTGCAATTTCTCATATTTCGACACATATTGTATATTTAATATAAAAGGTTAAATGAATCAAACGTCTTAGAAACACGCAACGACATGCCGTCGAAAAACAATTCTTACATCTACGAATGCCAAGTTTCTTTCCGAATTGTACGCATGTCACTATGAAAAAATAAAAACCACTCATCCGACATTCAAATACGTATGCACGTTTTTCCACAATATAACATGTTTTTTTTTTACTAATCAGCTCACCTTGAGACGCTAAAACGCACTTGCTGTGATGTTCGATTTATTACTAAACCAGTAATCATTGATTATTAAATCAGTTAACACAGGTGATACATTAATGTATTATTTCGTTTCCAGTTAATTATTAGATATTACTAAAATACAGATAAATATAAGGATTATAAAATATTACTAAGATTTAGATAAATATATCTCGAGTAGTCTTATAACAAACACGTAATAAGCCAAAAGAGATAACGAGAGAGAGAGAGAGAGAGAGGAAAGTAACCGGAAGAGAGCAGCATCCTTACCTCGTCGACGGAGCAGTTACTGCCGTCCGAGCGGTCCTCGTGTTCCACGCTGTTCGGGTTCCTCTCGGGTGTCTTGATTACCTTGATGTTCGCCATGGTGCCCTTGATGACGATGTTGTTCTCCCTGAAATAGTCGTCAGCCTCCTGGTCGACCACCAGCAACTTCGTCTCGTTGGCGAACGCCTTGATGCGCTCGACCACCTGATTGTGGGTCTCGTTCGCGATGTCGATCTCGTTCACCTCGATTATACGATCGCCCTGACGCAGACCGGCCGCCTGGCTCGGCGAGCCATCGTCCACCTTGCCGATGAACTGGCCGCTCTTGCCCTTCTGCGCGTGCAGGTTGAAACCGTAGCCGGGGAAGTCGTCCCACTTGACGATGTGGCAGAGCCGGGCACACGGCGCCTTATCGTCCTTCAGAGAGGACATGTCGCGTTCTCTCTCTTTTTCTCTCTCTCTCTCTCTCTCTCTCTTACCCTCGACGCGCGCTCAAGAGAGAGAGGAAAAGGTGTGAGGAGGGATCTCGAAACAGCAAGACGAAGAGACGCGTGGAGCGTGCACGAGTGTATACTGTACGCGTTTTCGCGTCTAGCCGGACCGCAGAAGCACACGGAATCTCACGAGGAACGCGCGGAACGTTGAAAGTCACGCGCGACGAGCCCAGACGGCAGAGAGCACGGCGAGCGAGACACGCGCACGTATACACGACGGGCGACGTATGCTGCTACCACGATCGCGATCGTGGCGCGCGCCAAGAGGTGGCGAAGAGTCTCGAAGCGTCTCGAATGCCCGCTCGGCTGCTTCGCGTTCGCACCGACCACCGCCGAACCGATCCGATCGCGCGCGCACCGGCCGCGAGGCGACCGTTCGAACCGACTGGCGGCGAGACAGCGGCACGAGTCGCTCGTTCAGCGCTGTACAATGGCGGACACCGCAACGATGAAGCGATCTTTTCTCGAGTCCGTTGATTTCCGCAAGGCCCCTCGGGATTCTCTCCTTCTCCTTTCCGCCGATACCAACGATTTGTCTCACGATGATCGTATTATTTCCTGCTCCCTGCCTGTTCCTCACTTCGTAGAGATGTCCATTCGAGATTTAAATTGAATGAAGTATATTTTCCGTTACTTACGCGGGCACTCCTCGACGCTGAATCGCACTTTACGCGCTACCCGCCAGCGAAGATTCTTACACACATATATACGCACACACCACGATCATGCGCACCTGTCGTGGCGAAAGCGAACGAAAGCGACGATTATCGCAGCTCACGCGAGCTACACGTTTTCCCGAACGAAACAGGAATCCACGCGAGACGTTGTCGCGAACTTGCCAGACCGGTAAGGCGAGAGAGGGGCGGACTGATAAACGAAGGTGGCTTGCCGACTGTTACGGCAGCGCCGTCTGACGAGCGAATTTGCACACACTTGATCGAAGTCGATTATATCGATCGACAAAAAAATTTGGATGGATAAATTTTCAAGGAATTGCATTTGAATTGCACGTAATTTCACGAGAATTGAATGGATGAATCGTCCGAATAGAAATCCCTTGAATTTCTCTCTCCCGTCCTTTTTTCACCTTACAACGTAGATATTATTCACCCTGAAGCTTCTTCTATTGATATCAACTATGTTAATGCAGATATGCGTAGTGTATTTTAAAATATACATAAGATGTCTGATGCAAGCTGTCCTATCTGTCATATTGTACTTTAGAATAATGTGAGCAAGAAAATTGTCTATCATTTTGTGAACAAACACGCAAATTTAGAGTCATTAATTATTAAACATGACCATGTATAAAGGCTTCTTTAATTAATAATTAAAAATTTTGCGTGATAGTATTATTTGCAAGATAGTAAAGGACTTTTTTATTCAGAATTCTAAACTACAAGTATACGACCATTGCACATAGCCATAGGTTCAAGGTTCAAGGTTCAATATACTGATGTCTGTCGCTAGGTGCTATTCTGAACAAAAAAAGTCCTTTGCCAAATAACCACAAAAATGTTTGAATTATTAATTTAAAAAAATTTCTATATATTTCTATACATCCATTGTCAATAATTAAGAACTTAAAATTTTTCATGGTTATTTGCAAAATGATAGAAGACTTGTTTGTTCACATTGACCTAAATTACAAGTATGACGGGACGATTTACATCAGACACCCTATATATTAAATAATTTATGATAGCGATAAGTGAATATAACATAATATAATATAAAGCTTTTGTGACCTATATTTGTATGTCATAAAAGGATTATAGGACGAATTAGAAGATGTCATGGCGGCAGCGTATTACTTTACCACCGTCGTAACATCATTCGTGTAAGCAAATAAAAATCAGTAGGCTACTGTTCTTAATACGTACCTGCATTCCCCTCAATGCAGCTTTCGCGATTAATGGCTTACGCTGCCAACATATATGCTAATTATCTTCTTTCCATGAAACGCGAATGATCGGTCCGATTCGAGCGAGACTGGCGCGCATGATACTAAAACGTGACACAATCCTACTGGCGCAACAGTGGCAATTTAAACAAACAAGGCGTGCATCACGATCGAAGGCGATTTCCGCGAGTTGTAAAACGCACAGGCAAGCCCGTGATATAAAACGACGCGATTGCGCCGTTATAAAAAGAGGCACGTCGAAAAAAAAGTTTCCTTAGAACGAGGTGCAATTAGCCGCCAAAGAATTAATGATACGTAACAGCACTCGCTATCACTCGTACCTAACTTCAGTACGACATCACTGAAGATGTGTGGCATGACGTCTATGTGTGATATTATTTTATGATCCACAAGAAAATGGATCCTCCGCGTGAATATTAAACTTTCATCATATATGTCCACATACTGCATTTTTCCTATTTGAAAATATGATGCAGATTTTCTGATGAAAATCAACGTTTCCCGAGACGGCTTAGGAATAAACTCGTCATTCGAACTAAAATCTCAATTAACTGATTACGAAATAGGAAACACAATGATTCAAGGCAATTATGGCGACGCGCGCCCGTGACTATCATCTCTCCACTTCCGTTCTTCGGTAACCTCTATAGACGATTGTACGACCGCAATGAGCGTAATAAAATTACTTAGAGCAGCTTTGGAATCATTCTTCCCGATTTCTTCTCGTATACAGCGGATTAAGTCTGACGTCGCCTCGAAATTAAAACAAGCAGCCACAAACAGCATCACCGCATAGTGTAATAAAACGATAAATAAAAAAAAAAATAACGTTGCTATTGCAAATTTTCTAAAGTCATTTTCATGGAATCGAACGCTATTAGGAAGTGACGATTGGAAATTGTCATTTTTAATCTACATAAAGTGTATAAGCCCGACGATTGTACTAATCGACTTCGCGTGCAGGCTGCACCCCGTCTTGGTGCGTCCGATAGCAAACTTTATGTGTACACTCATAATTCAACGGTGACGAATCGGAATGGCGACCGCGTAGCTGTGCTGTGCGTGCATGCTTATTCGGAGTCTCGTCCATCGCATATGCATGCAACATCTTCTCTCGCGGGTACAACGAGAATACTTCGTGGAACGTGGGCGGTGTTCGCCTCGCGAGAATTACAACGTCGATGAAACCCGTGTTTCCGATAGAGTACAAAATTCAACTACAAAACAACGTAGGTAAAAAGGCATGTTAATAAACGACAATATAAATAAATAATCAATTTTACAGTAAAAAATCAGAGAGAAAAAGAAAGAGAGAAAGAGAGAGATTTTGCTCGTACGTATCATATATGGAAATGCAATACACAGAGAAAAAGATTTCTTTCGATTTAGTATACAAGTTTGCTTGACCACGGTTTGTTTTATAGACTGAGAAAAAGATTTCTTCAAATTTGATAAATTTTATTGCATCCAAACAAATTTCACCATCGGCACGCTCCAAAAAAACGAATATTTCGATCAATAAATACGATTGCTAGACTTTTTATTGAATATGTATATTTATCTTAAATAAAAAATGTGTTAGAAACGAAAAATAATTTTCTTATAAAGAAATTATTTGTTTCATTTTACATATTTATTGTAACCGAATAATATTTCATTTGATTAAAAGATATTATTTCAAATAACAGCGCTCTTTCTGTTAAATAATAAAGTTTTCTTGAACGAGACAATAACATTTTTACTGAAACAAATAATATTTCGTATATGCTGTTCCTGTAAAACAAATTTTAGTCAAATAAATAGAAATATTAAATCTAAAGAAACCTTTTTCTTTGTGTATAAACAATATAATTTAATATCAAATATCATTTTGTTTGAATGAAAATATTGTTTTATGAGAGTAAACCATGTCGTTTAGTAGAAAAAAAAGTATTTTGAGGAAACAATATTTGATTTTCAATAAAAAAAATTTATTTCGTCATGTATTAAATATTGTTCCACTGAAACCAAAGTTCTCTAATATTTTTTTAACTTAGTGTTACTTCTTTTCAAATAATTTATTGTTTGTGACAATCATTATGATGTTTCGGTGAAAATACAAAAGATATGTCATTTGATGTAAANGATGAATCATGTTATTTGATAGAAGAAACAGTCTTATTTAGAGGAAGTAATGTTTTGTTTTTAATAAAAAATATTATTTCATTATATATTAAATATTGTTCCATTGAAGCAAAGAAGTTTTTTAATATTTTTCTAACAACGTGTTATTTTTTTCGAATAATTTGTTGTTTATGATGATTATGTGATGTTTAGGTGAGGATATAAAAAAGCCTACACAGCAGAAATGTTCATAAAACATCATAGGGATATTTTAAAGACATAGCGATATGTTATGATATGGGAATATGTTATTTGACGTAAAGATATTGGTGGTTTGACCAGAACCAAACAATTCTGTTTGTTGAATTAAATATTCGTTTATTTATTCTACTCCAATAGATAAATTTGTTTCAATTAAAGAAATATTAAATACAAAGAAATCTTTTTTTCTATGCACATATCTGAAAAATAACAATTATTTTGTAGTATTTATTGCATTAAACGAAAATAAAATGATTTAAAATTAATTATAATTCACACATCAGGAAAATTCATTACTCAGACCTAAAATGTTGGGAGAAATTAAATTCGTTAACGGTTATTCGTCAACCATATGTTTATTACCGCCGTTCTCGCCATTTGCATTACTCTTGCGCAAAAGTAGAATCAATCGCTCCTCTAGAGCCATAAGAATCTGAGACAGACAAAATGCTTCTCACGACGGCTCTTATCCGGTGCGGAGATCGCGAGTCGCACAGACAGTTAATTAACTTTTCATTCATATCATCAGGATATGGTTAATCAAAAATCAAATGTGCGAGAAACGTACAGGAAACCTTTCGCACGCAGGTCAAAGGCAAGCTGTGCAATCAAAACATTATACGCGTGTATCTCTTGAAATCTTCCGATTCATCATCCTGATATACTTTTCATCACCACAATACGGCCTTGTTATACAAGACTCGCTCGACGCATGCGCCGCGCAGGATCGAATCAAGAGAGCGAACCGCACGTGAGATTATTGTAAAAATTACGAACTAAATTTCTGGTTCCTTGCTAGTTCGATTGTGTTATCGAATTTGCAGGGACAGAGGAACCGCTCCAATTTCACCGCGAATCCCGACGCACCATTCTACATTCCGCATCTCACGCGATAATTCCATTTGAAATGTCCACCGTGGTAAACCCAGATGTCGCCATGAGTCGGCGAACGCCGTTGGCAGTACGGCCCTGGCGCGCCGACCACGACGGTCGCGCGTAGCGGTTATTTGTCGGCAGCAGCGGCGGTACGGCGCGGGCCATAGTCGATGCGAAGCGTTCGGTGAGGTGAACGGTTGCCGACGTGACTCGGTTGGCCGGCGAACGACGGAGCATCATTCGAGTCGAGCGGTCGCGAGCGAGCGTGGCGGTCGATAGTGCGCCGAGAGGTATGGCCGCGTGATGCGATTGTTTGTTCGTGGCGCTTCGCGTGCCGACGTCGTCACACAGGACGACAGCTGAGGAGCGCGCGACAATTGCTGCTACGAACAGGTACGAGGGACAGGAGTGCGCAGCACAGCCGAGACCAAAATGTGGAGTCCGACGCACGTTCAAGTGACAGGTGGGTGGACGCGGATCGACCGGACGTGCGCGCGCGCGAACGCAGCGTCAAACGACGCCCCCTTCTCGACAGGTGGTCGGTCGGCGTGGCCGACCTCCGCGCGCCGCGAGACGGACGTTTGTACCGTAACTCGATTATCGCCCGAGCACGTAAGGTTACATGTCCTCGCTCGGAAACTAGGCGAGAGAAACCTCGCTGAGTCGCGCGCGCCGCGACAGGGATGTACCCATGAGCGGCCCCCCTCAGCGCTTCCCGCAGCTTGCGACGCAGATGCGTTATTTTTCGCGTTATTCTTGTCGCGCGATCTGCATTGCGATCTGCGCCCCGCTACATCCTAGGCTAGCCTGGAAAGTTTCCAAGAAGCGACGGTTGAAGTGCGCATTTCGAGAAATACAGAGATGTCGCGCTCGTATTATTGCGTTTAAAAATGGAACGGGGAATCACGATGATGTCAAGACGGCAAGAGAATGACTGATGAAATTTCACTTCTCGATCACGATTCGATCATTTTTTCGTCATTTTGACTGTGATTTTCTGTTTTGCCCGGGAAGTGTTTGAAAATTGACAACTAAGAGCGACATTTCGTCAGGAAACCCCCCAATTTGATCCGTTTTGTATCCACACGCTCATGGCGGAGCCAACGAAAATTTCGTGTGTTGATCGTGTGACTGATCGATGTTTCCTATGACGGTGTTCCGTTATATCTCTGATATGATACGACTCCCGTTATCTTAAATCGGAGACGTACTACAAAAGCGGAGTAGTTCGGCGTAAACACAACCGATACGCGGCGCTCTACGTTGCTTCGCGATGTGTCACCGTCGTCGCGTAATGTAACGTGTATTTAAGTCGTCCGAGAATGCACGCACCGTCCGACTACGGTTTTCGCTTTCCACGCCGCAGTTCTACGCTCGCGGATCTCGACACGCGAATCTCGATCTTGCCTAGAAATTGTCGTAGGGTGTTACATGATTTCGAAATTGCCGCGATAAATATCATTAAAACATTTCGATATGTATAATAAAATATGAAGTTTCAAAAGACACAAATAGCGTATACATAAATATTGGTCATTAAATACCAATAAATAAACACTATTTCCCGAGGAAGATATCTCTTTCTTCCCTGATATTTTTTTCATCTTATCATCTTGTTATATCTAGACGAATTATCGAACGAGTATATGTTATCTATTTTTTTTTCTTGTTTTTATTTTTAATTTTTTTCACATCTCCAGCTTTTTTTGTTTCCGAGGTATTCGGATGTCGCGTCTATTATAGGCGTGTTTTTATATTCACTATCAGAATTGAAAATCTACAGTTCATATTATAGATTTTTAGTACTAGCAGTGAATATATACGAACACAGCCCTGTACCGCTCATGCTCTATCTTCTGTCTCTTATCGGTTCGAACTTCTACAAATAGCGTAAAGCATACTTTTGCGTTGCTAAGATGCGAATAGCAGGAATGCGGCGGTAAGGCTGAAAATTGCCTCGAAAGCGCAACTCATTCCGAACACCATCGTAGAAAATCGATGCGCGACCACCGTAATTCTGTTACATGGTTTGCAACAACTTCCAGTAATAGCTTCAATTAACTCCGACAGGCAATTAAACGAGACGCAATTATGTGAATGCGTTGGCTCGTATGAAGGCGGACAGTTGTTGCTTCAGGGAAATAGGTCTACCTGCGACTATAAATATTCCATCGTCCCGTATGAAAATATTTGCCGTACGTTCGTATCTACGTGTTGATAGCCTCGAATAACATACTTTATTCGCCAAAAATGATATACATTGAAAAAGTAGATGTGGTATTCGCGACTAAATAATTATATAGTGAAATAATTATAGTCAGGAAAGTTATTTTTATAATGAGCGTTATAATGATATATACTATGAGAATAACTTTATACGCATATTACCATGTATAGAAATAATAATTACTACACAGAAAATAAAAATTAGTCTTAAATCGAAAATAAATATTCTCATACATAAACAAGAATATTATAATCTTTTTAGTCTTGATTCGATTGAATTTGTATTGATGCAAGTATTATTTGAACTCCATTCAAGACTAAAAATCTCCTAAAAATATTATAACATTCTTGCTTACATAAGAACATCTATCTTGATTCAAGACTAATTTTTTTCTATGTGCCAATTAGCATATCACTATCTATAAATAGCATGCACCACATGCATATTATTACTACTATTTTTTTTATTAGAATAATATAAATATAATTAGCACCGAAAATGACTCTAATTGTAATGAGATTAATCATTTTTCCTCTCAGTGTATACAAATGACTAATGACGCGCCCAACAGCTGCAATTACCCGTTAATTGCGCAAGAAGTCGCGTTAGAAAGAGTGTGCTGCAATGTCGGCTCAACGAGAATTTAACCGTCTGAGAAACTTTTCGGCAGCTTCCTGCTTTTAGCGACGATTTACTGTCAGTCACTCGATCCAGTCGTTCCCGCAACTTTCAATGTGCAGTTTAGCACAAACGAAATCCTTCAATTAAATTCCGCCATTCACCGCGAACCGATCGCGAGATAAGAGCGCCTCGAGTGTGCGGCTTAATTCGCGAAAGCGTGCGCGCGCGTCAGAGCACTTGTCCTCCTAATTAGCGCGCGAAACTTTTACCTTCGGGCATAGCGCAACAGCGGGTGTCAAATCGAGAGTATCGCGGCCAGCATGAGAGTCGCCGGTGTAACGCGATACGCGCCGCGGAGAAAAGCCAAAATCCCGGCTGAAAAATCAGCTTGGTGCGACGCCAGATGGGAACGCGGAAAATTTGCCGGGAATGATCCAGAAAATCGGCCAGAGACGATGCGAACATATCCATTCGTACTCGTAATATTCGTCTGGAACTTATCCGAGTCGAAATTTTAATTCTACATTAAGTCTATTTGGTTCTACATTAAATCTTCAAAGGTCTTCTGTTACATTTCTTTGATGTTACCTGTGAGAAGTTATTTCCAGTTTCTTCACTTGAAGACTTAATGTAGAATTAAGTAGACGCAATATAGAACCAAAATCTCGACTTGGGTAACTTCTAATTTTCCATTTGGCTTCCGGGCTTTTGTGACCCGAGGAGACAAATTCACGAAAAACGTGGCTAACTAACGCGAGAGGTAAGCCGAACTCTTGTCTACATCACGAAAACCTCAAACATTAGATTATTCTAATTTAAAATCGTGGAATTTTTGTATAAAATGTATTTCTGTGAGATATTTTCCTTTTTTCCTGTGAGACACTCTTCCTTCGTCAAAAGACTTTTCATATTTCAATTCGAGAAATATTCGCATTACATTTCCTATAAATTTCACGAACTAAAATTAGAATAAGTTCGACACAAATATTACGGTTATAAATATGACAAGTACGAGGAAACCGTACTCTCCGTTTTGGCGTTTAACCTAGAAATCAGTAGAATTTCAGCGAAGTATGTGGGTTAATAATAATTCGCGCTTCTCTCGCGCGACAAAATTGCGTGCGTGCACGCGATAATTGTAAATCCTCCTTTCGCAACGTCCGTTGAATCCTTGTTACGACAAGTTACCGGCTCTTTCGTACCTCGATGGAAAATAGGCGACGCGTGAAAGCATGCTTAGCGGCTGTCCGATGCTCCCCTTTCCGTTCGTGAACGTGCACCACGAGAGGTATCCCCCTGCTCAGTGCTGTGAGTATGCCCTTGGGAATCACGATGTAACGGAAACCTCTAAACCTCAATGTCTTAAATTAGTTTCCCGATATCAATCAAATTAACGAAATGAAACGACGCAAAGTAACGAAAGGCCGATATAAGTCAAATGTTACATGATATTCGTGTGAGAGAAGGAAGAAAAGAAAAAAAGAAAAGGAAATAGAAGGGAAAATAAGAAAATCTATATTTGTAAAGTTTTGAAAAAAAACCGTTTCTTTCTCAATTTTCCGTAGATTTTTTTCGTTTCTTACCTTCTTTATGGAAATAAGTAAATGTAGCGTTTCGAACACACACGTGAATTGTTCGAAACGAATTTTTGTATCCTTGAGATAAAAATCGAAGAAATCCATGGAAACAGTTTTTTCCTAAACTTTAAAACTATAAGAAAGTTGCACATATTTACAACATACATTTACAATATCTAATTGCAAAATGAGGTACCGCTGATAGTAAACATAGCAGTACATCATTTCTTGTCTAGTTGCTGTAAATATTATGTCCGCGTCTTCGTGTCAAGTCGATGCCGACTGATCGATTCGATCCATTTCATATGGAAGAGACAATCAAAGATTAATCCCTGAAGCAATGCGTCGGAGACAGCGGCATTATAACCGGCAATAAAAGACCACGACTACAAACGTCAAAGAATATATGTTGCAATTTGCGAGGGCGGAGATTCAATGTTTGAAGGAGAAACAGCTTCTCAATTGAATCAGCAGTTTCAACAACGAGAGACAGAGATGGAAGCTTTCGTGCAGATGAGACGTTGTGAAGGACAGAAGGCCGATTGAACGAGCCAAGTCATACAAATATTAGAGAACCGGAAATAATCGAGAATCGTGAGCGCGCCAGAGATACCGTGTCACTCGAGATAGGTTACAAGTTAAAGTCAGAAGAAAGTATCCCGTTGCGTGAATATTTCGCTCAGTCAAGATCACAAAAACAAATCATTAGTTGAATTCAGCTAAAATAATGGCACTCGTTTTATTTCTCTGAGAAGAAACGTAGTAAATTTTAGATTGTTTAACGGATTTAGAGAATATCGAGTTTGAACATTTGAAAGCTAGATTTGACTTACGATTTTAAAAGTTAATGCATGCGCACCACATGTATATATAGGAAGAGAGGCCCTATGCTTCTCAGAGGAATTATAGGAACACTACGTTTACATACATACAATACATACATATTTACAGACTTGAGTGCGTTCTCTAGTTCCTGTGCTGCCTCGTCATTCGCTTGCATGAAATCTAACCACTTAGTTTTTCTTGTGAATTTATCTTGATTGCGATTGCATTTCGGTGACACATGGAATCTCTCTGAAATCTTTTAAAAACCTCACGGACATTGAGACTTTGTAGCTTATAGATCTTCGTAGGTTAAGTTTCCCTAAAAAAGTAACATTGAAGGAGGTGAAAGGAAAAAGTTGTTAAAAAGCATAATTACATTAAAGGCTGGATTCTGGAGCCTCCCTAATTTTTCCCCTTATTTTTGAGGCAGAAATAAGTGGACGGTGAGTCACTCATTGAGTGCTGAATGCTTTTTCTAGTTCACGTTTTCCCATGTGAGGATGAAGTGAGACTGAAATGAATAGAAAGTGAGGGTGAGATAGAAGTTAGGGGGATTTCAGAATCTAAAAATCTAAAAATCCTTAAAAATTTGAAATACTAATTTACCAATTCATAATCCTGTTTTATAAGCTGTTTTGTTTTATCTTCATTTTTCTTAGAAATATTCTTTTTCTCTTTATACAGTTGGTCCTTTTCTCGTTGTAGCCGGTCTCGAACTTCATCTTTTCTTATATCTTCATTTTTCTTAGAAATATTTTCTCATATCTTCATTTTTCTTAGAAATATTCTTTTTCTCTTTATACAGTTGGTCCTTTTCTCGTTGTAGCCGGTCTCGAACTTCATCTTTTCTTCTTGAAGCTGGTCTCGAACTTCATCTTTTTCTCGTCGAAGTCGGCCTCGAACTTCATTTTTTTCTCGTTAAAGCCAATCTTGAATTTCATTCTTTTCTCGTTGAAACTGGTTTGTAACAAGAATAAATACACATGAGAAATCTATTAAACCCTGATCTATATTCTGGATATGCAAATGTGATTTTTAAACATAAAAGTTACACAATTTATCGATAGCTTGAAACTGCTTAAAACAGAAGTTATGATATGTCACAGTAAGTATATGTAAACACTCAAATATATCTTAAACTTGATATTAAGCCATAGATAAACGTGATGAATACAAACTTGGAATATACGAACCCTGTATAAGAACCCTGTTACCTTCATGAAATTTATAAATAGATAACTATTAATAAGAGCACCAAGGAGACACATAACATCTCAAAAATCTCCATGTTGGAAAGAGTCCTTGACTCATGAATAGAAAGTTCAATATAGACTGGTGAATAATATAATTTTCTTTGCTTATTTTGAGATGCTTTGGTGTGATTTTAGTTTTTCTTTCAGGTGAAAATATGTGTCATAATTTTATGTCTTTGAGTAAATACTTGCCCTAATTAATCTGTCCTTAGAATTACGTGGGTTTTATTGAAAAATTAATGGATTTTTAAGGTAATTTTTGCTTGATTTTTTGAGTTTTTTGTGTTTTCCAACATTTTAGAACGTTTAAAATGATGCCTACCGTGTAAAAACTCATGACAAAAATGCATATGATTCCGATGACAGATCAAATTGGGAGATTTTATTTTTATTGGGGGAGATATGGATGTTTTTTCGTTGATTTGATTCATTTTATAATTTTATGTTATTTTAACAAGATGAATATGTTAAAAAGTAATATATTAACAAGGTGAATATATTAATTTAACATAGTTATGTATTTTTTAACATATCCTCGTATTAAAGTAACACAAGAATTTAAATAGATCGTTTGTAACACAAATATTTTTACTATATTGAGAAATATTATACAATCGTTATCCAGATCTAGGATATTTATCTTTTAAGTTGGTGCATTATTGTGAAGAAACAATATATTTGCAAAATTAATGCAATTAGAAAACAAAAGACGCCTACTTTGCAATTCACGTGATTGTTCGAGAGACCTAAAGAAAAGAGAAGATTTCAAGAGAGGAAGATCAATCTCGTGAAATTCGGTCGCATGTTATCAGGTCGTTTCGATCTACGTCGGTGGGACGCGCGAAACGTTAAAAAAATGTTCCTTTCCGATTAAACGGTATTTGACTGCGGCCTCGTGGGTAAGGGCTCTTCTCGAGTCCGTTGACTCTAATCCGACCGCGGAGGAAAACGTGGCGAAAGAGTCGGCTCGCTCTACCGACCGAGGCACCTCGAGAAATCGGAGAATATGCACCTTCTTCGCGCACATACGTTCATTACGGTTCATCGCCGTCCGCGCGTGTGAGAACGAGGAAGTGCCTCCTACAGTTATTCGGTAACGCTTTGTGCCACGAACTAACGGATCGCGGGCTCTCTTGGAGAGACACGGGTTTTATTTCTTTTTTATTTTTTTCACGGCAGATATCTCCCGCCTTGATCGTCTCGCGAATTCGGCCAATTATACAAATTCAATTCCGTGATTTCACGAACAATATAAAAATTGATATCGCTGACTGAAACTGTACGGTCGCGAACAGTTGATACCGTTAATGAGCGATCTTCAACTAGATATTGTCTCCGTTCTCTGCCTCAATTAATCATCGTCCAATTTTTTCTTTCCGTGTATACACATGCTCTGAAAAAAAAAATCAGATCGAAGGAATCAAGTCTCAGGATTACGTAAATTTTGTCGCGCAAACTGCGTTCGAGTGAAATTTAAAAGAATCGAGTAAGATAACAATTTTAAAGTTTCGGAAAAAATTGTTTTCTTTTTCTTCATTTTCCCGTAGGTTTTTAGATTTTTTCGACTTTATTCCGAGGAAAATTGAAGAGAGCGATCTTTTTTAAACTATAAGTCCGATACAATCTAATGTAGAAATTTGTACTACGAAATTTATTTAATAATAAAAGGTTAACGAAATTAAAATGTAGTTATGTGACCGTGAAATTGAGTTTGCTTAGCTCAATTTCAGTTGTTTCAATTGATCTTCTTTTATAATGTATAAGTATCTGCCCGATATTCTCTGATTGGTCGAGAGAAGCTCGTGACGAGAGAGGAGTCGCCAGCGAGGAAATACGATCTATAGTCGCAGCACGATGGCACCTCTGGAAAGTGTCTGGGAATGATGTAACTGGGTGATTTCATTGTTTAAATTCTATTCCGGTCAAGGTTTCGCGAAGTTGCGCGAAGGTTTAATTAATAAACGCGCACTTGCCGCCTGGTTGCAAACTTCGAAAGCCATGATGCTCCATTTGCATACACGCCGTCCCGCACGATAATGCTCCGCTCTGATGTTGCTCTAATTAATTCCACCCTCATTTCACAAACATTTGGCTCTGAAAGTGGTAATTGAACGCGGATTAATTGCTTTATCGCGCACACAAACTCGCGCGTTTTCGAATTTGGCGGAAAAAAAAATATCGTATTTAAATTTAAATAGCGAGAAAAAACAAGATGAACGGCGCGGCATGAAAAGAAATGATAGTAGAGCGACGCCTGATGATTTCCACGGATCGTGAAACCAACAATGGGGGCGGTAACCGATACGCGAGGCGCTTTTACTCGGATATAAGAGATTATGCGCGAAAGCCGTGTGAGATTTTCGCGTAAACTCGCGGGCGAGGAAAGTCGACCGAAAAAAGTGATCATACGCGCGAGAGTGTTAAAGGAATTCTTATTTTCAACACGACGACTCGCAAAACGCGCGTTTTATTCACGCGGATATTCAGTCGTCGTTCCATCACAGACTGTTGCGGTTGAATGCGCTTCATCCGAATTGAAATTTGAATTCTACATTAAGTCTTCAAGTGGAAAAAACGGAAATGACTTCCCACTTGTAGCGTCAAAACAGCATTAATAGTTGAGACCTCCCGAGTTGAAATTTTAGTTCTATATTAAACCTTAACACGGAGAAAACGGGAATAATTTACCATTTGTAGCATCAAAAGAGCATAATAAAAGACCTTTGAAGACTTAATGAGTACTTTCCATTCAGCAGCAGAAGTCGACACAAGCATCATCCTATCTTTGTTACTCGTGGATATGAAACAAAGACAACATTATGCCTGTGTCGACTTGTATCACTAAATGGAAAGCCACTACTGTAAAACTAACTAGACTTAATGTAGAACTGAAATTCCGACCCAGGTATCTACTCGTTTATCTCGCTACGATCCACGCGGTCCGTTAATATCGATGATATTAATGAGTATAAAATAGCTCGTGATGAAAGATCGATAGCAACTAAAAAATCCGCTTGGTCAGCAATTTGCCTCGACAGAATGCGTTTTCGAATGTAAACACGTTGGATAAAAATAGCAGCGATAATTGTAATGGGCGTAAATATATTTTTAAACATATTACATTTACTTACTCATTTTACGTCGCATTTGTAATTGCTGACATTTTCTTTTCATTGTTTACAGTTCAGAGAGCCAAGGACTTATTGACCAAAGGAAAACACAGTGAGTATCGTATTTTTAATTTGATTACACCTGTAAACTTTCTTTTTCTCATCAACGTCCTCTTTTGTTCCTGTCTAGAAAAAAAAAACGCGAATCATTAAAAATATGATCGTTAAAGTATGCTTTGACTGGTCGAATTGCAAAAAGATCCTCGATCTCTACGGTCTACTAATGTGAGAGTGACGTTTCACGGAAAGCACCTTATATATAATGATCGTAAGATTTCTCGATAATCCAGCTGTGTCACACGTTCTCCCACTTATCAACGTCACGTTCTTTGCCTATCTACTCTACAACGTCACTCGCGTGTTCGTGCCGATAACTGAGTAACTTCGTATTCCGTCGCTATTTTCAATCATGAATCATCCGGTTTTTACAAACCAAGCGATCTGGATTTGCAAAAAAATACGATAATACAGAGTTTTGACATTTGTGCATCACTAAGTTGATGATGCGTCGCGACATCCTCGAGTCTCGAACCTCTATGCGGACGATCCCGATGTCTCTGCAGCGTCTTGGTGTATACCACGATTCGCTGTGAAAATTTTGTACAATCTCATGTATCAATTAAATCACGTTATTAAGGAAATCACAAAGATTCGCGATATAATGAAGCGATAAATGCAAAAAGAGAGAAGGAAGCATTATGAAAAGATTGCTTGCATTAAGAAAAACATGATTTGTGACTATAATTGTGTAGTAAAATAATTATAATGACGAGAGCATTTTTGTAACAATCATTCCTATAATGTTAATGATAATAACTTTATATGTGTATTGTTTTCTCATGTTTCATATTTTCTTGCTAAAACAAAAGAATATAATTGGTGCCAGAAATTGCTACAATGAAACTAAACATTTTTTTCTCTCAATGTTCATCTATGCGAAATATTTGTTCAATTCGTTAAAAAAAACTAAGAGAAAAATAAAATAATAATGTATCGCAAACATAACATTTGTCATGTATGGCAAGTTACGAAGTTACTCATCGGATTTCCCTGATATCGTAATTTTTTTTCAGTCAGTTTAAGGAAAATAATGTAAATTTTTTCTGAGAAAGGAAAGTTAAGGAAATAACATGTGTATATTTTTTTAAAGAGTTCGGTAACTCGAATCGGAATTAATATGACACGAGTCGCGAAATATTTGCGAATTATCTCGATCTAATAATCGAAATAATGACGCGGCGAGTTGATGATTCTCGATGCGTGTCCTCAATGTTGTGACACATATACTTATAACCCGTGATATAAAATAAGCAAACGCAGCGCCGTTAACGAGCAAACATATATCATATCGGGCTAATGATGGACTCATGTACGCTGAAATTTATAAATTAAGTAGTGTCGATAGTCGTGACACTTTACCCGACCTCAAGCTGCACTTGGTCGTATAATTCTGCGAGAAAATCGAGTTACCTCGACTGGTATCCATTCCCATTTAAACGCGCATTTATTCAAATCAATATGCAAATCCGGAATGGAATCGACATTTCACGAATAAATATAATCAAAGTCCACGCCGAGAGTCAAGCAGGCAGAAAACTCGCCGAGAGACCAAAAGTTGAGAAATTAAATTAAAATACAATTAAAATTGGAGTAATTAAAATTACATTAAATTTTCTCGAAATAACAATGACAACAAAAATAACAATAATCGTCCTGATATCACTCTCACATGTCTGCCCTGAAGTTACGGGACAGACCTGTCTTGATATTAAATATTTATTAAATACCATTAAAAATTAATGAAAAATTTACGTTTAATGGCCCTTTAAATTAAATTATTATTTAATGGTAATTATTATTTTTTTAAATAACAATACACCGAGTAAAGTGTCACGGCAGAGGTGTGTCACAAGAGCGTTTCAATGATAGACAATGCTGTCACCGAGCGAGATCTTTTTAACCCTTATCGGACGCTAGCTTTTTATGCGTGATTCTCACTAGGCTATAGCTGGTTTCGGTAAATATGCGAACTTGTCACCTCCTACATGACGTATGACCGCAGCGACCAAGTATTGTTGTCACGTGAGAGGTGACTTACGACCGATAAGGGTTAATTTCCGTTATTCGGTCGTCACCATCCACACGAAACGTCGAACTGTAAAATGTTTCATGTAGAGACCAACGATTGCTTCGTGACAATCGCCCTCGGCAAGGAAAAGTACCAGACGTCGGTGAAGGAGAAGGCTGTCAAGGACGTGGAATGGCACGAGGAATGCGAGCTGCTAATTCCGGAACAGGGTAACACTGCGGAAATCGTCCTAACCGCCCTGCACCGTAACTTTCTGGGTGTTGACGAGTTCCTCGGCACGGTCAGCATACCTCTTTCCAGTTTCGATGTGTACGAGAGGCCCAGGAACAGATGGTACGTGTTCGGATATATAAGTCGCTCGCAGTCGCAATCAACATTTTCAATCCCATGCGAATTCTCCCGGAGAGGGTGAGCGCGAAATCGGCGAGCCGCGCAAGAAAGAGAAATCGCCGTGTTTTACCGCGGCGTATCGCTATTTTATTAATCGTCCGCATTCCTCCTCCATGTATCGTTGTTACGTGACGCTATAATTAACTGCTCGTTCTTTGCGTGCAGTAATGTATTTTTTTCTTTTGGATTCTCTGTAGTATATGGATTCTACTATTGCCCGCTTTGTATTAGAAGTATGCGAATCGTTCGAATCATTGTTGACACCTCTACTTTGTACATCGATAGACTTCTAATAATATTTTCTTCTATACGTAATTCTCAACTTTTGTCTATCTGGCTTCGTATTTGTGTTTCAGATATATTTACGTCACTTATATAAGATTCTGTTATGTTCGTTGTTAATGAGAAAGAGACGATTTTAGTAGCTGATGTCATCTAATTCTAAAGCACGCGTGTTTTATGAAATCACATGTATCTGTCTTGTTCGTCATAAATAAAATCGTGAAAGAGTAAATGTGCTTGTATTAGGTACGCCCTTAACAGTAAACCAGGCAAAGAGAACACGAAAGAGAGAGGCGAACTCGAGGTGAGAATCGGCTTCATCGTGAAAGCTGGAAGCCTGACCGATCTAACCAGAAAAGAGCGTCACAAAAGCTCGCTGGGCCAGCTGTCCACCGCCGCGCAATCGATCGGCGGTAGTTTACTGAGTATCGGCAGTCTGGAGAAGCGCAAAGGCCTCAAGAAACTAGCGAAATCGATCGGAAACAAAGTCAAAGGTAAAAGTAAGAATCGACTCGATGTTGACAATCTCGACGAGAAGGAGGAACACCAATTCACCAGGATCACTCGGCAGGAACCAGGCGAGGCTGATCCCGGAGTTATCAGCGAGGACGAGGATGAATTCACGGTAAGTGAAGCGAATTATATTTCCTATAATAGTATCATCTCAATTACCATATTTAATTATAATTTAAGTTAATTAAATTGAAATACAAATTCAAGATGATTAATATTAAAATATATGATACAGAATACATGATTAATATCAAAACTACATGAACAAAATAATTTTGCTAATGTAACAAAACCATCGTTGTTACTGCATATTCGTTGCGACAGCAATAATATTTAGTTGACATAACCAAATTAGCAAGTCATTTGTAATTAGAGCAGAAACAGTTTTGTTGCTAGGATAGAAAATATTCTGCTGAGTAAATTTGTCCTTAGAATACGTTAATTTGTTGTTAGAACAAAGTAATGTTTCCTACATTTACTAATTTGCAAATGCGCTTGTATTAGGTACACCGTTAACATATGCTGTTCTTGCAGCAAAATAATTCAGCAAATGGCAATTAGTATTTTTAACGAATCGTCGTTTTGCTGTCCATTTAGTAACTGACAGGATTTAGTTGCGACAGCGTAAAATTTATTGCGTCAGCAAATTATTTTTCTCCGTATATAATAGTTAATTAATTGCCAAATAGTTGATTCAAGCTAGCTTTTATTAATTCTGACTTCACAATGTTTGATTAATATGAAAAATATTCTATAATTCTGACTGTAATTATGTACGATCACAAAAATATATAGAGATATGTAAAAAAAATATGGAGAATTTATTTGAAAAGATGAAGATATATAAGAATGCATATACATACCTGTCGGAGATATTCTGAGGTAGTTCAATCTGTTATAGTTCGACGATTTGTCTCACAAGAGCTCGGCCTCGTCTCTGAACGCACCCGTGCCAGGTGTGAACGGCGGTAGTACCAATGGCATCGGCATTCCGAATGGCTCGCAGAGCAACGTCTCCAGCGAGGTGCATCACACTCCACCGGTGCCGGTTAACGCCGCACCGAACAAACCGCCACGATTTGTCATGAGCGCGTCTACGACGAACCTATCAAAGGTCGGCAGTGCGAAGGACGACGAATGGGGCTTGAAGCTCTACGGCAAGCAGGCCAGCAGTGTTCCTAAGAGGTGAAGTTGCATTTGTCCTCGAGAATAAGCCTGGCTATAATATAATGTTTATCGTAAAATTATAATTTAACATAAAACGAAAAGCACAGCAAAATTATATCAAACAAATACGTATTAGTAAAGTAAATTTTTGCGCTTATTAGATGGGAAAATAAGCCGAGTCCTAAGATTGTGGTGAACGAACCGCAGGACAACAAACACGACGCTTCGCCGGCTCGCTCACCATCGCCGGCGTTTAGGTTGAAGGAACCACCGGAACCGCCCAGTCCGGCGCCGAGGGAGATCCTGCAGCCGAAGAACAAGGACGAGAAGTTCGCCTCGAGCAAGGAGAAGCTACTGAAGGAGGATAAGCTGAGGGACAAAAAGGACGACAAACTCGGTACGCGCAGTCCCAAGGAGGAGAAGCACGCGAAGAAGGACAAGAAGAGGGACAAGGAGAACAAGTTCAACGACGAGAATCACCTGTCTTCCGAAAGAATCATCATCGGCGGCGAAGACGCAGTCAAGAATGCCGCGAACTCGAAGAGCCGCCTACCGCACGAGGTCCTGAATCAGTTTGATGGAAAGTCGAGAGAGGTAGAAGAGTTCCTTTTAAATCGATTTAATTAATTGAGCTACTCGATTAATTGAGTAGCATTTGAATAATAATTGATTTAATTTACACGCATGCATTTACATTATCAAACATATTTATCTTCTCATGTAAATTTATTCGCACTAGCAAACGCACTTGGCTCTTGTTGGCTTTTCTATGTTTCCTTTGATTGTGTATCTTAAGAATCTAATGCAGTTTTATATACGATTTAATTAATTTACTTATTTTCATCAAGATTTATTTTGCATTATTTCTCATTAATATTATTTTTTATTAGAATTTATATATTTTCATTACTATTATCTGCGTTACAGAAATACTCATAGAATTACTTTTTTTTTCCATAATGCAAGATCTCATTCTAATCGAGGCGTTTCGCTTGCAGGATCTAATAGAACTGGCGCTGCATCTGCAGGCGCAGATCACGGAGAAGAACAAGAGACTCACCGATCTGGAAGATTACATCGATGCATTGCTGTTACGCGTGATCGAGTGCTCTCCGCGATTACTTCAAAATCCGTACATGTCGCAGAGACGACTGTCGTCTCCCGGACATCAGTAAATTCAACGTTTAACGACGAAGCTTTCCTAATTTTAACTAAGGGGCCACCCATTGTGCTCGCCTGTACACCTCTTCTCGATACCTTAATGATACTTTCTAGACATGACTGATGCAGCAAATGGCTACGTGTTACTAGAAACTTGTTGCTGCGTACTCTAATTTATTTCCTGCCTTCTTGAGCTTTAACTTGGCAAAATGGACGACGATATATTCTCGCAGTGACGTTGCACAAATGCGTGTTTCCCTGTATTTATTTATGATAAGTAAACGGTAATTTATTAAAACCCGGGTTACTGTCGGCACGAACAAAGGATAGGGTGCAGATGTCAATTGCTTTGAAATTCACCCCGTTTATCCCTTGTCTTCCCAGAATACTATGTCGGAACTATCGAAGTATCTTCGAAAATTCACATTCATTCACGAAATCTCCGTCTAGATAATCTTTAACAGAGAAACAAACGGACACAACTGAGAATCTGTTCATTATTATCGGTTACATTCTATGTGAGTATAGTATATATGTATGTATGTATATATATATATATATATATATATATATATATATATATATATATATATGTGTGTGTGTGTGTGTGTGTGTGTGTAAGAATTGTCTGTAAGATAAGTAAGATCCCTGATAGTGTGACAAATTGTGCGAGATAAAACCCATTCGAGCTGATGATCCACTCAATTGAATACGTGCCTTCCATCTTACTTGTACACACTCGCATTGAATTGGACCATGCCTTGTTAATTAGAGCATTATTGTTAAATAAAGATAATATTTTAAATGTTCAACAGGTGTATACAATAAACTTGTAAGGTTTTATATATTATCGCGATCTTTCTCTCTTTTTATCTAGAGGATAAAATTGAATGCCAGTACAGACAAGTGTGTGTATATATGTATGGCTTATTCTTCTACAATAGGTAAAGATAAGAGCCTAATTGTAATTATTTGTGCTACTAGGAAATAATTTATTTAATCGTTAAATCGTAAATGTTGGAAATGACATTTCATCTGTTATATTACTTGGAAAAAAATCTAATGCAGGACTCATACTATGTCATTCACATTTTTTTATGAGTTTTGCAACACATTTCATATTTTAATAGAAAAATGTATTTTTCTGAGAACTACTAAAATACAAATTTTCCCATTAGAAACAGGGTGTTCCGAAATTTATTAAAAAAATATGTTATAACCTTTTTATGACTGGCCATACGACATGCAGTACCTAATATGAGAATACATTTTCTGGAAACAAAAACATTGTTAGCTAGGAACTCTAAAAAGTGAGATCTGTTTGATGTCGAATTGTCGGTTGATCGTGAATCCTTTATCACTTATGAAACCGAAAAATTTAAGAATAAAAGTACAGCTAACATATTATTTAAGAGCAAGCGTGGCATAACAGGTAGCGCATTGATCTACTATGCCATCAGCGGTCCCGGGTTCGATCCCGGCAAAAGCCAAAATATTTCCGCTTGCATCCCCTCTTGGAAAGCAATGACAAACCACGGAGAGTATCCTTGCCTAGTATAACCTCTCTAAAAACGTTGTGGTTCGGAACCGGCATTAAACTGTAGGTTTTATATGTTTGTGTATAATCACGTGTACACCACAGGCATATAAGAAAGGCCGTCGCCTACGCCCGGACGCGCAGGTATGGCACTAAAAGAAGAATATATTAATTTAGTCGTACTACTGCTTCGATTTTTCAAGGTTGCGTTTCAAAATCCTATTCGACAGGTAGAATAGCATTTAATTAACCAATCATGATAAAGAAATCTTTGTTCCTTTTCTCCCGATTGGTCAAATAAAACTGTTCCACAGATTAAGATTTTTTGAACGCACCTAGAACAGTGGCGGCTCAGAACGAAGACTTTGGAACTACCGCCAGTAATTACCAAATCTCCGCTACGAGGCGGCCACCACTCTTCAACGAAGTTCGAGATCACAGCACGACTCAACAAGACAAAGGTATTTTTATTCTTTAGTTTTTACAAACCAGCAACTTAAAAAACCAAACCAAATCAAAAAACACATATATGTCCTCTAAAAGGACGTCTTTGTCTTATTATCTAAAAGATGTCTTTACGACGTCTTAAGGGACATCTGAATGTTATCTTGATATATTTTCAAATAATACGATTTAACGGAAAATGAAATCCTTTATTGTTAACTAAAAATCAATAACAAGTCAAAACCTTTTACATTTTAAGCGATACCAATCAAAAACGAAGCGGGCGAACTTTTTGTCTATCGTTAGTAGACCAATGGCGAATTTGATAAGTTTTTATCTGAATTTACTGACTGAGAGATAAAAGTCTATTTGTCTTCGCGACAAGATATATTATTAAGGTCCGGTTTCAACGCAAGTTAATTAAATCGGTCGATTAAATTCAATTTGTCCATCGGAACTGACCAATCGCATCTATCTAAGAACGATGCGGCATTAAATAGCTCCAACAGAAGAATTGAATTTAATCGATCGATTTGATTAATTTACGTTGGTGAAACCGGGCCTAAAATATCCAAATCCGAGCGAGTTAGATTTCAAGGTAATTCAAATTTGAAAACATCGGCGAGATGATCGATTCTTGAGCAAGAGTGGAATCGAATCTCGATTCGGTCGAAAGTCGCCCATTCGCAGTTCGTGGAGCATTGTCGCGCGACAGTGGTGCAGCGCGCATTAACGCTTTGGTTCTCGCGGCGGATGTACGTTGCCTGGTACCAATTCGTCGCGTGTTCGCCGTATATCATAGGATTAACTCGTTGACGATCACACGACGATGACCGGCACCGGGAACGAGGATTCCGCCGCATTCAATTCTATATCCGGTAAGACACAAACGACTTTCAACGCGTCGTAATGCATCGGTCACGCTTAGAGGTTAGAGTAGCACAGCGGGTTTTTCGGATAGCACCCACGCGATTCGCTGCGATTCTAGTTTCCTCGTAACGATCAACACAATCATCACGTCTCTCATCTCGCAAAAATGTTGCTCAATCGTGCTGTGCTCGCACAATATCGCGAGCATTCCCGCAGATTCTGTCTGTAAATGATATTTCAGTTGACGTGCGTGCACCATGTGTTCACGATTCTGCTCCAGTCACTGCGTCCTGTCGTGATAGCACCGAGAGATTTTCATGCTCTTTGTTCTGAAATGAGCACGTTGCAGATCCGGGAAAGGCCAACACCAGCACAGCCGGTCCAGTAGTTTTATATTCGACCGCGCTGGCATGGCGAGCTCAGTTCCACCGCAGTCTCACGCGCGGCAGTATCTCGGAATCCTCGGACGAAGAGGAGAATCTGTCCCAGTATCAGTTCGAGGACGACCTCGATTACCTCCGCTCGCTGGATCCGAGGGACTGGAAGGATCAGGATCACTATGCTGTTCTGGGCTTGAAGAATCTCAGGCACAAGGCAACGGAGGATCTTATCAAGAGAGCTTGTACGTATAGTATCGTTCATCAAGATCTAGTATCTGAAAAAACTTAGAATTCCCCAGGAAATTTATTTATACCTAGAGAAATCAGAAAATTCTCAGGAAATTTTATTGAAAGTCAGGGAACTTGAAATTCGCATTTCACTACAAACCATATTATCATATCGTTCACAAATAAATATTTGTGTGGTTAACTGAATTTTATTTAATAGTATTTTCTTCATTAAGAATTATAGAGGAAAAGTTCAGAATTTTCTGACTGGATTTTTAATTAATTTTAATTAATAAAAAAATAGCGCTATATAAATTGTAATATCTAATTATATTGCTTTAATATTTAGTGCATACCGAATTGTAATATCTAATTATATTGCTGTAATATTTAGTGCATACCGATTTTACAACTAATCCGATCAGTATCGAAGACAAGGATTTTGTGTTAGGTGCAATCTTGTTGAATTAAAACAGATATTTTAGTAGATTTATACAAGTTACATCTTGTATCAGTTATGTATTACATAATTTTAGTAACTTCTCAAAATAAAATTTGGAAGTGAAAATTTTACGCAAGATAAAATATTTATTTTTTAGAGTTCTTACAATTTCTTTCAAAATTTTTCAAATTTAATAATTGAAACTCGAGTAATTCTCAATTTTATTTTATGTTTTATAAACTTTCATGAATGGAAAATATCAAGGACTTTGCACAATAAATATATATTCATTTGCAATATATATATATATATATATAAATACTTTCATTTTATCTGAAAATTTGAAAAATTGACCAAAAAATCAAGGAATTCTTGAAGAACTTTTTCTCAGATTTGAGTAGAAACCCTGTTAATAAACTTGATCACATGTCACCTTGTAAAGTCTGATGGTACAAATAATATCTGTCAGAGTGAACATTTAATATGTGAATTATAGACAAGCAAAAGATCTTGAAACACCATCCCGATAAACGCAAGGCGATGGGTGAGGAGATTCGGCCGGATGATGACTATTTCACGTGTATAACACGAGCTTGGGAGATTCTCGGCAACCAGGCGAAGAGACGGAGCTACGATAGTGTGGATCCGTATTTTAACGATAATTTGCCGGAAGAGAAGGACTGCCGGCACAATTTTTACGAATTATTGGGCAAAGCGTTCAAAGAGAACTCACGGTGGTCTGTGAAGAAACCCGTGCCGCAGTTAGGTGGCCCGTTCACACCGCGGGACAAGGTGGAGAAGTTCTACTCGTTCTGGTATGACTTCGACTCGTGGCGCGAATACTCATACCTCGACGAGGAGGACAAGGAGAGCGGTCAAGAGTAAGTAATTTTCGATCAAACCCGTGATCACAGCGTCATATCACACATATTCCTCGAAGCGAAACGTTAACAATGGGAATTCATTGCAGCCGGGACATGCGGAAGTGGATCGAGAAAAAGAACAAAGTCACGAGAGCTAAACGAAAGAAAGAGGAGATGACGCGGATACGCACTCTAGTGGATATGGCTTATAATATAGATCCTAGAATAAAGAAGTTCCAACAAGACGATAAGGATAAGAAGAATGCCGCGAAGAGAGCGAAGCAAGAGGCAGCGAAAGCCAGGCAGCAAGAAGAAGAGAGAATAGCCAAAGACGCGGCGGAAAAGGAGAGGCTGGAGAAGGAGAAGAGAGAGTCCGAGGAGAGAGCGAAAATGGAGGCGCTGAAACAAGAGCGCGAGGCGCAGAAGAAGGCGTTACGTAAGGAGAGGAAGGCGCTCCGGGACTTCTGCAAGGTGAACAACTACTTCGCCAAGAGCCCGGCGGAGAACATTCGGCACATGGAGAGCGTGGAGAAGATTTGCGAGCTGTTCAAGCTCGCACAGCTGGAGGAAGCTATGAAGAAGCTGCACGTCGACGGCAGGAACGCTTTCCTTAGCATCGTCGAGGAAACTGAGCGGCACATCGAGGCGGAGCGTCGAGTGAACGTGATGAATAACGACGCTAGAAACACGCCCGAAAAGCAGACCAAGACATGTACCGCGCCCTGGAGCGAGAACGATCTGCAGCTTCTGATCAAGGCTGTCAATCTCTTCCCCGCCGGTACCAATCAACGTTGGGATGTGGTCGCCAACTTCATCAATCAGCATAGCGGCTCCACCAGCGGGGTCACTCGCGAGGCTAAGGAGGTCTTGGCGAAGGCCAAAAGTCTGCAGTCGACTGACTTCAGCAAGTCGAGCCTGAAAGAACAAGCAAACAAGAAGGCTTTCGATAACTTTATCGCGGAGAAGAAAAGCAAAGAGGCGATCGAGGAGAGAATGCCAGCCGTCACAGAGCGCCTAGACCATCCGATCGCGAACGGTGTCGCCGCTGAGCCCAAGGAGCCGAAGAAAGAATCAGCGCCGTGGACGCCGGCGGAACAGAAACTCCTGGAACAAGCACTGAAAACCTACTCTACTACGGTCCCGGATAGATGGGACCAGATCTCAGCGTGTATACCTACTAGGACGAAAAAGGAATGTATGAGGAGGTACAAGGTAAGCGTTTTACGTAGCATATTACAATCGCGCATATGACTCAAGTAGAAGTGAAACGTTTGCTCTGCGAGTAATAAAATAAACACGTAAGAGGAAAATGATATTTCAAGCGATAACGTTAGGAAAATCATTCCGCGCGCTACGTAACGTCGTCAAACGAGAACCGTGTAGTTTGCGAATGAAATTCGATCTACCGTCATTCGTCCCCGAAGGCTAATTTAGTTATTTTCCCGATTGCAGGAACTGGTGGAGTTGGTCAAGGCGAAGAAGGCGGCGCAGGTGATGAAATAATATTAGCTGCGCACTAAGTCGAAATTTCCTCATAATTTATTGAACTCTAGTTTACGAGCGATTCCGATTCGACGATCGATCGTTCCCCGATGCATAAACGAGGATTATAATCGCAAAATTCGTGACTGGGCGACTACCTTAGCTTCGATTGAGTGCCAGTTCGCGCGCATACCTGTGCCTTGCTACAGCCGACACGTGCATCAGCTGCACGGAATGCGGGAAAGGCCGACTACGTATTCCGTTTTGCGGATCCCACACGATTCCGCGGGCACCACTCGGAATTATCACCATGGCACCACCGTGTTATATTCCTGCGCGCTGTGCGATGGATGTACCTTTAAAACCGTGCTGCCGATTATTAACTTCCGTGCGAAGAAGCTTGCGACCTAGGAGGCAATCTTTAGGGATGTGTAACTTTCTTTTTGCAAGATGGTTTCGTGTCCGACCTACACTTTGTGTACGTATTGTAAGATAGAGAGGAAATGTTGCTGACGAACCATGAGAAGAGATGGGAAGAAAGAAAGAGAGAGAGAGGGAGGGAGAGAGAGAGAGAGAGAGAGAGAAAGAGAGAGAGAAAAGGAGAGAACTGTGGACTTTATAAATAAAGAAGACGATTTTAAGAGATGCTCCGGACCTGTTGATGGAAAGTTCCCGCAAATCCGTCCTCTGTGAGTACCAAATCCTTTATCTATCCTTATGATATTTCGATGAAATGTGAAAAATTTATCCCAGTATATCCGCTCACCTCTATTTCAGAAAATGTTCTGAAATCCGTGAAAATTATTTTTATCCTATCCTATGTAATACCCGTAAAAATGATTTTTGTCCCTGCTAAAATCTGTGAAAATGATTTTTATCCCGGTTAAATTCCGCGAAAATAATTTTAACCCCGCTGAAAACCTATGAAAATTATTTTATCCTGCTGAAATGTACGTAAAAATTATTTTTATCTCTGTTAGAATTCGTGAAAATTATTTCATACATATATATCCTGTTGAAATCCATGAAAATTACTTTTATCCCAGCTAGAATCTGCAAAAATAATTTTATCTCTGCTGAAATCAGTGAAGATTATTTTATCCCGCTGAAATATGCATGAAAATCATTTTTATCTCGGCTTGAATCCGTGAAAATCATTTTCTATAATTCTGCTGAAAATTGTGAAAATTATTTTTATCCTTGCTGAATTTGCGAACGTTTTACGAATAGCTTCTCAGAGCTGTTATCAAATTTTACAAGAGAAAAGTGAAAGAGCGATTGTTTTTCATGCGTAAATACCATCGCCGGGACACGACACGACACGTAAAGGGATTTCGTGAAGGAGATCTCGTTTCAATCACCGTTCAATTTTATTTCGTATTTCTTCACTTCATACTTCAACATTCCAAATATTCAGAGTATCCCATATCGAAACACATTGCGTTACGCGCGCGCGCTGCTATAAACTTACGAGCGGCGAGTATAGTTAAGACGGCGGCGACGTGTATCCTCGGACGCGTATGTCCGCAGTGTATACGCCACTAAGATAGTCTAAACTGGGTAGATGAATATAATTATTGTGCACTTTGTTTCTCGTTATCGCTAAGTCTATAACATCGGGCGGGATTCTCGTATTCCGCTCTCGACGTTCTTCATTCATTATCCGGCGTCACCCTATTATTCTCGTTAATAATTATCATAATTAATATCATACACAACACTTCCGGCCGTTAATATTAATTCCCGACTATCGATATCGATCCTTTCCTTCTTCGAACGAATCGCGCGAGCATTGTTCATAACAAACGGATAACGGGAAAGAACGATCTTCTAAGTTACATTAGAAATACGCGATATATTGGTCCTGCTGAGAATCCTGGCGTTTTCTACGCGTCTCTTAGGAAAACACATGTACACACGTGGTCTACAGTCGTATAATTTATACAAGAGATGCCCCCTGAATCAAGCGAGAGAGAGAAAAGAAATGTCTCAGAGACAGAATCGTTCCTCGACCTTTTCTGCGGCATCTTGCTTCTCGCGCGTGTCTTTCCGCTTGTATCTTTCCGCATAGGACGATTGTAACCCGTGCAAAAACCCGCGTAACTTTTCTCACAGCGATTCTTCGGCGATTCTACTCTCTACGTTTACTTTCTACATTTACGCTTCTCAGCCTCACGGGATGGAAATGTTTTGGTCTCTCTATGCGCGACTACTTACGTACGCACGACGTACAATCACGATAAACTTCCGCACTTGGTGACAACACAGGAGAGAATTGCAATTACACAGGTATATAAATGGTCGCCTTTTTGATGAAATAAGTCATTTCTTGTGTTTTTCTGTGCGCTGAGTTCAAATCCGGCCGCAGAATTTCACGTCAGGATTTTGAAATATCTTAACCTCAAAGCGAGAAAACGCCATTTTTTCAGTTTTTGAGCTGAAACAACAATGAAACGAAGCAAGATATGTTAATTCTAACTAACAGGATCGTGTTTAGCCTGAAAAAAATCTGTCAGAAATTATATATTTTCCTGAAGAGGAAAAATATTTTTTATCCAGAGAAACAAATAACTTGACCTAATGTGATTACGTTTTCGGCAGATACATCAAATATTTTAAGCGTGCTGGATCGATTTTCGTAAAATGTGGTACCCTAAAGTTTCTGGGGTTGCTGATTACAAATCCGAAGTCGAAAATTAGAAATATTCAAATTTAATATAGCGGACCCTAACGAAAACAAAAACGTGACATTAGATAAAGTCATTTGTTTCTGTAGATAAAAAATATTTTTCTTCTCCAGAAAGTGCATGGTTTTCGGTATATTTTTTCATATTGAGTATAATCTCGTTGGTAGAATTCACCTATTTCATTGTTATCTTGACTCAAAAACCTCAGAAAATAGCATTTTTCGCGCTTTCAGATTAGAATATCTCGAAATCCTGACGTGATATGAAAATTCTGTGGTCGGATTTGAATTCAGCGTATCAAAGAAACATAGGGAAGGATTCTTTATTTTAAAAAAGGATTCAAGACCTCTCAATATGCAGGCCTGTGTTATCATTCTACTCGAGATTTTTCTATTATCGCTGTGTGTGCCGGAGCGCATGTAGTGATATACTACATTTCGATGTAAATCCTGATTCCCACTTTAAAACGGTATAAAAAGACAGCCGTTGATAAAGGACGTCTCGTCATTAGAAAGACCTCGAAAAATGGGGTGCGCGACAAAAGAGCGCGTCCAACACTTCTCTCGTGAGAAGCAGAAGCGGTGATAGTTCCTTCCCCGCGTTAAAGTCGCGGACGCTCGATCGATCTTTCTGAGCAATGTGTGTCACCGAATGATCGTGTCGCAGAATCCAACGACGCTCTCTCTCTTCCTCCTGGATCGTCTCGTCGATCTTTTTCCTTTTCCACATTCTTTCTCAACGAAACGTGCGTTTCTGTGTACGTATTATTGTGTGTGCATATATTTCGAGCGTGGACTATAAGCGAAAAAGATCGATTGATTGCACGGGTGGTTAATTGCTATGACAATTTTTATTCAGACATCATAAGATATAAACAGACTTCGGATTTTAAACATTAGTGGTTCTGGACCGTGGCGCTCCATTTGTTTGTTTGTTTGTTTGTTTTACTTAATCGTTTTTTCTTTGTTTCCTTTGCATTCGTCGTGAGAGAAAACAGACGGCGAACTCTCTATGTTATTTTACAGAGCGTAAAAAATTCTGCTGCCACTACTTGGTCATGTTCGGACCCGTAGTCTCTGATTTACACTTACTTGCTCACTTATCATCTCCGACTCTTCTAATTTGGCATATACGTATGTATGCGATGTATGTATGTATGTATATGTATCTACAATATATGTATCTCGGTAATAGCGATTTCGTTCGGTTCAGTCATTCTCGAGTTACAAACCGAACGGAAGGCGGAGAAACTTAACGTGTGAGACTGATGATACACCTGTCAAGAAACGTGGGACCTGTCAAACGTAATCGACGAGGTGATTCGACGGGGTGAAGCGAAAAGGTGAGGACGGGAAATGATCCAACTTTCGATCATTCGTAGCGATCTCGATCTCTACGACAGTTGCTATTGCAAGCAACAGCTATTTGGCTTATAGTGTTTGGATAACGCACCATAAAAAAGAAAAAATAGAAAGAAAAACACAAAGAAATAGGAAATAGAAAGCATAAGGCGAAAAAATAGACGGTCTCTGTTCGCTGCGCAGTAGGAGAATTCGCGAAGGGAAGGAGCGTAAAAAGTAGATTGACAGAGAGAGTGAGAGACAGAGCGGAGTTCGTATTTTGGTCGTAGACGCCAAGAGGCTTTCGAGGAACGTGGTTCTGAAAACCCCGAACTAGTACGTAGCGGTTCGCGTGAACGGATTTGTTAGTGGGCCGCTTCGCGTCTCGCACGATCGGAACTGACGAGAGACCCGTGGATCTCTTCCCCTGTCCGAAATCGATCGACCGGAGATCTTAATTAGATTCGCTAATAGACATTCTGCACAGCCGAACCTCACGGCGGCGGTTCGAGGTTGTATACAAATTGGGGGAAAAAATCGAAGCTCGCGACAAATCTCCAGAACCACGCACGATTAAGTATTTATAAAATTTACGAGAGCTTAAAAATTTTTGTCAACGATTATAAGTAACATTTACGTAGTTTCCAGCGCCTATACGCCTATCCGGTGGCCCGATCTCGCGTCTCTGCGATTCAACCCCTAAAGTCACTCGTGGCGCGACACGCATCGGCGATTCTCGGTGATTCCTCGCATTCGACCGGCTTGGAAAAATCGGACATTTCGCGAGCGAATTTTGTGCGTGAATAGGGGCCCGCGCTATTTCCGAAAGATTTATCCCGACGATTTATCCATCGACCACGTCGCACGAAAATTGTGAATTCCCGAGCGAATTCTCATTCACACGCCTTTCTCACGTGCTTCTTGTTTCCTCGCGCGATCGCATTCTCGATCGCTCGCCTGTTGAGAATCTTCCAGATGCATTCCCACGGAGAATCCAACGGAACTCGTGCGAATCCACACAGGATATTAAAAATCCATGTAGAAATTCACATGGTGTGTGAAAATTTATTTAGGAACACACATAGTGTGTGAAAATTCGTATAGAAATCCACATGGATCACTGAACTCTACACGGGAAAGAAAAATTTGGTTGAACTTACCAGACAACAAACGAAACAAATGCGTTTTGGTTGAAGGAGACAGAATTTCTGATATCGTAAGAACCGAATTTGGACTATAAAAGCCAGAAATCCTGTTTTCTTCAACCAAGACGCGTTTACTTCATTCACTGTCTGGTAAATTCAACCGAACATTTTTCTTATATATATTATACTGCTGAAAAAATGCCGTATTAAAAAACCGGGGTACGCCAAAGTAACATAAGTATTATTTCCTTTACTGTACTGAGAAAAAGAAATTGAAATTTTACGAAGTAAATGTTTCTCGTGACATTTTCTTCGATATTAATCGGTTAGAAAGAAATTTGACTATGACGACAGAATATATTTTTGTGAAAGTTATCTAAGTTTTCTTATTAATTGGTTTATTTGCTAGGAATACAATTTTATTTCGTTGTATTTAAATAAATGTTTATTCCTGTGAAATAGACCTTATATATTTCACAAATAAATTTGCAAATCTTTTTTCTCAATATGCCTAAAGTTTTCTGATTAGTCAACGATTTTCTATGGTCTTTTCTATGGACATCCGAGTGTAGTAATTTACTTGTGAAAGGTGATGTTCGTACCATATTGTTCATAGTTTTTACAATTTTTCGTGGCATAGAACTCTAATATTTTATTGTTTATCCTGTTCTTTTCCAATAATGTTATAATTTTGTCAATTACGGAGGTCGCGACAAATGCGAAGCTTTTATGATGAGCTGATATTCTTAACTGGAATAGTATTAAAAAAGGATACAGATAATATTTCTTGATAATATGTCTTTCTCAGATAATATATCTTCTTTCCACCTCTATTCGCCCGTTTCCTCTTATGGTACTTGGCATTCCAGTATAGTATAGGGTTCAGTGACATGGATTATTACCTGAAATCTACGTTTTTGACTTGGGGATTCCATATGAATTTCCTGTATGAATTCCCACCTGATTTTTTCCAACAGGGTTGTAAATCGCCTTGTGATTTCCGGCCACGTTCGATTTAATCGCGTCCTCCGCGTTGGCGTCAGCGAGTCTCACTGCTGTTGCAGTTATTTTCTTCCTTTCTCGTTTTGCGAAATACATCATCGATATGATATAAACGTCTGCACCGAAAGTGGATTAGCGACTTTCGCTCGACTGCGAATCGCGGCGACCGTTCATTGAATCGTTCTGGTAAAATAAATCTCTCGCAAAGCACGCGCTCCCCGTCCGGAGATCAGACTATCGAGAGTCGTGAAGTGGCATTCATAAGGCTCTCCGTACCGTTGAGCATGCATGACGAGTGGGGTGTGATCGGGTTAACAGAGGTCTGACGATTCGCGATCTAGATTTGCGCGTCTGACCGTCTCATGTCTCCGAATATTTTTATACGATAAAAACCGAGAGCCGCGCCGCGCGACAACGTCGCGCTCGATCGCACGTGCGCGCACGCGCGTCTTACCTGCTTAGTTCTCCCTCCCGTCCCTCTACACCCCCTGCCCCTACCCACATTTGTATAGATTGCCATCTAGATATAATATATAATATAATATATATATATATATATAATCTCGAATATATATATATATACATATATANCGGCCATTCATCCACACGCATCAGCGGAAATATACGCGCAACGTGTTATGTACACAATTACATACGAATAATAATATCTATATCGTCACAACATATCAGTAGTGTACACACTCGACTCGTAGCTCTCCCTCGCAATAATTCGCAATAATAGTCGTACTTTGTCTAAGTTGATAAAAGTCTTCTCTGGTCCGAAAGAAGTTATAGATACTTAGGCACTTGTTATCTCGTCTAGAATCCATCGTACGAATCGTAATTATGAGTTGTAATCGTGACTATTAAACCGTAATTAATCAGAACAAGGGGCAACGATAGTAGTAATTAATAATGAGAGCAATAAGAGGAGCGATTGTGTCCGCCAACGTGTCGCCCGCGCGCCCCGCGCGGACGCGCGTGCCTGTTGTGTCGTGTGTGCGGCATCGTTCATACTTTTTACCCTCCTTTAACGCTTTGTGGCCCGAATTTTTTGAGCGCGCGTGTGCACCCTCGCGGATACACAGCTCGCTCGTGCGAGACTCGCCTATTAGAAAGGAGATTTTAGCGTCCAATGAATAATTATAGCGAGTTGATAGGAAGTTATCGCGTCAAGTATAAGGTGTTTACTTATAGGATAATAATAAGTATTCTATATAAATTGTGCTATAAAGGTTTTTTTAACGGGCGACGAGCCCTGTAAAAGAGGGTACTGGATCGCTGCTGAGGAAACAGACCGGTCGAAATAATCGAGGGAGACTCGTCTCTGGGGAAATTGTCAATATGATTCCCGTGATGCCATACGGCAGATTGATTTTATAAATTTCCAGATCCTTCGATTCTCCCGACATCTTTTCCTCCGACAAGCAAGAGTTATTTACCGATGTAATCGAGCTTGAGAAGAGATGGGAAGAAATACGTTCGTCACTCTAATGTGTCTTAACACGTTGATTGCCACGCTGATCTCCATTGACATTTCAAAGTTTAATTAAAATTTGTAGAACCAGAGGAACACATGGAGAAAAATAATTTTGCTGTTGAAACCATCGTTACTACTACATATATTTATTGCGGCAATAATAAAATTTAGTTGGTATAACTAAATTAACGAATTATTCGTAATTGGAGCAGAAACAGTTTTGTTGCCAAAATAAAAAATATTCTGCCGAGGGAATTTGTTTTTAGAACACGTTAATTTGCTGTTTGAATAAAATAATGTTTTCTCATATTTACTCTAATTCGTCTTACAGCAAAGTAATTTATAAAATCAGCAAAATAATTCAACGGAAGGCAATTAATATTCTTGACAAATCGCTTTGCGATTCACACAATAATTGACTGAGATTTTGTTGCGACAGCATAAATTTGTTATGTTAGCAAATTATTTCTCTCCGTGTAATAAATAAATTCATAATGCATATATCTGGTTTATCGGTTAGCTGGATTTGTCAGTTTCCTGTTGGCTAGGTATTAAATTTCTTCTATATAATAATTTTTTAATTATATTTTATACACAGAAATCAATAAAACGCGGAAATGTGACAGTGTCGATCACCGGTGACTTTCCCATGGCAGTTAACGTGTTAATTCCGAAGAATGGATTGATTATTTTTTCATTATTCTTTATAAAAATTGAAGTAGATAGGAGTAAGTAAGCATGTAACAAGTTTCAAGTGCGCGGAAGCCAATCGTTAAGAAGAAAAATGCAGACCTTGCAATTCGACAGGGCGAATCCCAGTCTCTCATTTCGATTCGTCCGTTTCCGGTACAGAGAATACGCGCGGCGTCCGTCGTGTCGTCCCTGTCAGGACGAGCCGAACCGAAAACGGAGATCGACGTTAAACGGGACAATGGTGTCTCTAAAAACTATTCCTAAAGAAGTGAACTCAATTCCGTCCCGGGAGCCTGGGTCCCGGGGTGCTCCGTCAGTTAATTTGTTTGTTCTCGCGACTATCCGACGTCGAAAGGCGATGACAACGACGACGAGCTTCTCTCTCTCTCTCTCTCTCTCTCATCGCTGTGAAAATACGTCTTACAAAGTATATGTGCTCATATATACTTCATACCGAACGAGCTTCTTCGGAACTCCGTTCGGTTCGCGACTCGCACCATCCTCGCCGACTTCAACATCCGGCCGGTCAGGAATCAGAGACACAGCTCGAAGCGCTGGGACGAGACGCTCGCTCGTGCGTGAAAAATCGACTTAGAAAATACTCGTCGAGCGACATCGGCTCCCGGATGGTGTCGGCGGACGAGGACGAGCTCGTCGTCACGACCTTTCGGTAGCATCTCCGCTCGGTCCACGGGTCTAACTACATTTACGCACTCAGGACGGTTCCAAGCATCCTCGAGCTCTCCGAACGACCACAACGACGACTACGACGTCAGAGCTCACGGTCTGTTTCCGTCGAATTCGCGCGACCGGCTCCGCCGCTTGGCGTTGCTCCGCTCATCTTGGCTCGTCTATCTCCGCGACGACCTCGGCGACTAATCCGTGGATGCGGAAGAGAAGGTGTTTTCGCGTTACGTGGACGATGTTCGCGTCGCTGGCGACTTCTCGTCCTGCTAGGACGGCGGCTGTCGCTGTTGCTGCTGCCGGTTGCCGCTGCGAAGCTGATGGTAGCCGCCCTGCGGAGGGTAAACGGACGGCTGGCCGCCGCCCGCCGACGGCTGTTCCTGCAACGGCTGGTAGCTGATGCCGGTCGTCTGCTGGCCCCACGGCTGCTCCATACCTTGTTGCAGCTGGTAGGTCAGCGGCTGACCGCGTCGCTCCTGCAGCAGCAACTGGTGCGCCGCCCGGTCCATCTCCTCCCGTGTCATGTCCAGCGCTTCCTGCATCTCGCGCGACGTGTACCGCACGAAGTCCGGGTCGCAGTACTTGCCGAGACCCTGCTCTGCTAGGACCTGAAGCGTCAGACGTCAGATAGAACGATGGGAAATTATAATATTGTTATTATATCACTATTAATTCTTTACTGGGGTATACATTTTCATTTTCACATTCTAGAAGTGAAAATAACGATTACATTCGTTACTATTATTAATGAGAACAAATAATATAGGATGTAAGATCGAACAAATGTCGAGTTTTGAAATTTACAACACTTGGCTTAGGGAAATTTTCCCTAATACATTCGCTATTGTGCATTCGGCAGAAGACTTATTCCGACTAAACCGAGTTTCTGTATTATATTTCACGTATTTATATAAAATTAGGTACTGGACGACTTCTATAATTGATCACGAGAGAAATAATCATGCGAGGGAGAATTATGACGTAATCAACTATTTATTTTCAAAATCATCTACATCTAAATTTCACCGTATCGTTCGTAGCAAAACTCACCCGACCGACGAGACTCTCCGCGCTCCCGATGACCTCGAAATTCGGTTTCCGGTCCGCAGGACTCCCGGGCAGGCTGTGGGACAGGCGCTCTGCGCCGATGCTTCCGTTACTCTCTCCAGCCCAGGGAACTGACGAACGAGGAGAGGCGTCAGAGTTTTAGCTCGAATCATCACGCCCTGCCTCCTTATCATTTCGATGCGCTTTCGATATAGCTCTCGCTATCATTTCGACTGACTTTTCAACGAGCACAGCGCACAGACACACATACCGACGAGCGCGTTATCCCTCAAGCTTCGCGAGTTCAGTTGGTGTTCGGGTGAATCGAGTTGCGGTTAGTAAAAGCGTTAGAGTCGAGTCTGTGTTAGAATATTAGATTGAAAGCTGGCAGAGCGCGCGTGCTTCGAGCAGCGGTTGACTACCTTGAGGTCCACGTCTCTCTTCGTATTTCTGTCGATTCCTCTCGGGAGATCTCCCAAGTGTGCAGATCGCTCGAATGAAGAGTGACTGTACGTCGCGTACATCCGAGACACTTCGATCTCGCAAATCAATTTTGCGCCACGTGTCAGATGTGTTTACTCTCTTCATTCGTCCAATCACCTTAGGATACTTTGCACTTCAGGATATATTTCAATTATCAAATTTCATCATATCTCGAGAAATCTCAAGGAATCATTAAGAAGGGATTGAAAGGAAACCTAAAGTAGGAATGTCAAGTAGAGAAACGAATATAACGAAATCCAACGTAATAGAAAACTATCGCTCCTTTTCGAGCATACTGATATCCTTTGGCGATGTTAACCCTTTGCGGTCGACAATGACAATATCAATCCTTACACAATCCTTACATTATAAAAGAAGATGAATTGAAACAATTCGAATTGAGTTAAACGAATTTAAGATTGTGTATGGCGAATTAATCGATCCAATTATATTTCAATTCGTTAATCTCTTACCGTTTACTCAATTTTGTAATTCGAATTCCTACGTCAGTTTGTTGATCTGATTCGATTTATATTCGATTTGACTTGATCGCAATTTGTCCAACAAAATTTGTGTATCCCTGAGACCAATCCCAGTAAGCAAGAAATTATAGACACAATGTTATTATAGTAATATTTTACAATATAAAACGTTTTCAAATATATAATTCTTAACGTTGTATACAAGATCAGAATTCGTTATTGTTAACAATATTTGACTGAAACATTAAAAATAATATTTGTACACTATGATTTTAATATTTAAAAATATTATATTATCAAATAACAGTTTAAAAACATTTATAAAACATTATATCATAAGATTATAAGATGTTTATAAAATTAGCTTAAAACCAATGTTTCGAAACGTTAAATGATTAAATGATTGATTTAATGTTTCTTGCTCACTGGGACGTACCATTTTCAACATACTAAGGCATTTCTACTAATGGCATAGATCCTCCTGTTTCAAAACCGAATGGAAAAAGCTAAAAGTTCGGCGATCGCCATAACGTTCCCGCACGTTGTCCCAGCAATTTGGAAAGAACAGCGCATCGCAAATATCGAGAGTTCATTCGAATGCTGCACGACCACGAAGGGTTAAACCGCGTTCTTTTTAATCACCTCTGCCATGATAGGACGCTCGGTGCGAGAAGCAGGAAGCGTAGACGCGCCATTGCCGCGAGTCGACGTCGGCGAGGAAACCGGCGACGGCGATCGCCTGGGTCTGTGCCATTTTAAGGCCGTTGGCGACGGTGCGGGCGCCCGACGCGACAGCTGACCCCGACTGGCCGGCCGACGTGGCCGCGTCGGTGTCGGCCGCGTCGCGCGACCGGAAGCTCGCCGGGGCCGATTTGCCGCCGGCGACAGCGGCGTCGCGGCGACCCCGGCGCTTCGACGACCGACCCAGCACGGTGACGTGGGCCCTCCCAGACGTACCGCGCACCACCGCACCCTCCGAATGGTTCCACTTGCCGGAATCGCTCGATACGCTTCCCGTAGTCGTGTCCTCGTCGTCACAGTCGTCTACGGCTGCGTGCGAGCGCACACGGATTTGTTTAATCAGTGAGAGAAGCCTAATTCGAGAGAATCTCTCTCGGCCTGAGTTTCACTGTGCTGGCGAACGAAATTCGATTGAACGGTGCCGCACGGTAATGAGAAACGGTAATGAAAAAGCCGATCGGACGAATTACAAAGTGCAATTTCAATTCGACACGCGCGATCGATCCGACCGATTTAAGCGGGGCCATGCAAGGGCTAAGCAGTAAGATTTGACGTAAAACCGTACCGATACCTAAAAACGTACCTTACCCTGCACATTCTTTAGTCTTTAAATACGAATATTTTAACTTTCGATGTAATATATATGTGTATATTTAATGTACATGTATTCTATATTGAAAGTTTAAATATTTGTGAAGACCAAATATAAAAACATATCTGAGTTAGGTACGTGCTCAGGCATTGGTATCTTTACTATTGAAATTTGTTGGTCTCACTCAAAACGAAGTGATCTTGTTTCTTGCAATAATCGAGAGAAACGATCGACTGACTGTCTCGCCAATTTCTTAGACGCCAGCACAGAGATGGAACATACATAGTCTCTGCCTGATCTAACACATCCAATAATTACTTGTACAGATAAATATGCACGAAATATATATATATATATATGTATATAAAGATGAAAAAAGACAACTGGACGAGAAAGATACGGGGGGTACACCGAGTCTTCGAAAATTTTTTTCATAGGCTGATTTTGAATTTTTCCGGTTCATCTTCAATTTTGCCTTTTTCTCTTTCAACGAAGATAAAATGACAACACACGATTCGGGTGGGCCTATATTCATTGGATAATATCGAACTAGCTGTATAAATTATACTGATGCTAAAACACACCGATACTAAGACATGCGTTACGTCAATTCTAATATCTCGAGCCACGACGTGTAACATTAATCCTGCGCTAAACCTACGCTAAACTTCCCGCTACTTCAAACTTCCAGGCGCGAAAGCGTCCAAAGCGCCTTTACATCTACCCTCGATATTCGATCATACACAAGCCCTGCTGCTTGTCTGTCGCATATCTAACCCCGCGATCTATTCGCGTCGGCTTACAGACCGTCGAACCTCTGAAGATTACACGATGACGCGAATCCAGAAGACTTCCGTAAGAACCAAGGCTCCCGACGATGCCCTCGTATAATTGAACAGCTCAGCGCGACATTGAGCAAACCCTCTTCCTCAAGAACCCAGAAGACATCTCTACTTCAAATTCAATTTTATTCCCCCTTGCAGGATTAATATACTTATTTTAACCCTCGGTGTGCCATCGTGGAATTAAGTAAATCGAAGGATTCGTTTATTCTTTTAAGAAATAAATCAATCTTTCTTCTTGTTTTTCAGAAAACCAAGAAAGAACAAAAATATACATATGTATGTGTGAATTTTTATATAATATAATTATGAAATCTTTCAAATAGTTAAAACCGTTTAAAAAAACGAAAAGAAAGTAACATCGTTATGAAGTCCTCCCAAGTCAACAAAAGTCATTTGTAACGTTAGCGACGTGTCATGTTGTTTCCCAAACTTAGGGAGCAAAAACGAAAACTCGAACGAAGCCCGATAGTACACAGAGGGTAAAGGAAAATTCACTTTCCGCAAGTTCTCGCGAAGAAGCGAGCTCGATCATCGCATCGGACTCGTCGAATCGCGTCGAAGGGCATCCGCGTGAGTTCGCATGAGACGACCGAAGGGGTCGCCGAAGCGGCGGTCTCGTACCGTGATTGCTCCAGACTGCGCAATCGGCGCAGCAGCCCCGCGTCGCGTAGGTATAGTAACAGTTCGTGCCGTTGGACGAGGAAGCGGGGCTCGGGCTCGTCGCGGAGGTCGAGGTGTTCGTGCTCGTGGTGCACGCGACGATCGTCGCCGCGACGCTCGGCGAGCCCGTCGTTGCCGCTGCCGCCGCTGCTGTTGCGGTTGCCGATGCTGCTGTTGCTGCTGCTGATGCGGCGGAGGTGTGCGCGATGCTCGGGACGGTGGACGAGGAGGGTGGATTCCGTCGCGGCGGAGGCGTGGGTGGCGTCAACTGCCGCTCGATTCCGTCCTGAAGACTGCACGAGCGTGCACGCGCGCGCGAGAGCGAGCGCACACACACACACACACAGCGCGCGGGCAAAGAGAGAAAGAGAGAGAAAAAGAGAAAACGTAACGGCCGCTCTTAGTACGTTAATGCGTGTACGCGTGGCGCATTCCTCAACGCCTCGGACGATTCTCTCGAGGAATTCTTTTTTCAAATATTTCTTCTTTTCTCTTTATTTGAATTGTAAAAGAATATTCCCAGAGAGAGGAAGAGAGAGAGAGAAAGAGAGAGAGACTCCGGAATGAAGCTGTGAAAAGCGAGCCAATTTGTAACTAAGCAATACCAAATTTTCTCCTACTTACTATCAAGCTTTTGTTTCTTTTCTTTCATCTTCACTGTTCAAAATTAAAACCCAAGATACTCTTTATACCTTTTTCTTCTTTTTTTAATTTATAACGCACTTGTCCATCTAAGAAAAAGTAAATTCAAACTGCTCTATTCTTTTTTCTATCGATAATGTAGTTCAAGCTGTGCTTTAATCGTGCAACTCAAGTTTCGAGGAGAATTAATCCAGAGGCAGTAGCATAGTTAGCTTCGTTTTTTAAACGTGTGTAATACGATCATGAAATGTTGAAAAGAATGTTGATGTAAACACACGTTAAAAGTACCTGTATGAAATTAACATGTGCAACCCGGGAATATCCTTCTCATCGAGCACATCGTCCTAAGCGAGCTTTCGTCGAGGCGTTTTGGTGGCGCTTTAACAAGCGTTATCATCAAAATGTTGCGTTAGTCTACGGTCAGTACGAACATGCGATCAGCTGGACACGAGCGCTACCACGCGCGGGACCCAAACGCATCCACCCGAACAGCATTCGCGAGATGTGTGTGCGACCCGCGCGTCTAATTGTCCTCGCGGTCTTGCGGATCGACTCCCGTTTAACCAGTTCCTTCTCGCGCGCACCGATCAGCCGGTCACTCTTTCATACCACACACACACACACGCACACACATATATATATGTGTAGGAAACACGTGGAGCACACAGTTGAACGGGGATCATCGTCAAGGCGTGGTTAATGAAAAACGCATGCAGGCGCGTAGACAAGCAGATGCGAAACGGAAACGGAAGCCAGCTACTGTGATCGCAGAGCCCTAACTTGTCTTACCATATTCGCTATTGGGATGGAGATAGTTACCGCTACCCGATCCACTGAAACGTACGACAATAAACAGAAAAGCGAAGAGGATGGTAAGAGATGATGCGAGTCGCTCGCGAAACTCTCCTCCCGCGAGTGGACGATCCCGGCTTGTCGATCGTTTCAAAACGCGCTCTCGGCGACGATCGTGTAGCTCTCACCTGAGAGGGGAAAGTGAAAAGTCTCATGTCTCCGTTGTTCGGGGAATTACGTGATCGCAAGAAAAAGTCGTCAAGTTCGCATGAACCTTTTTCACTCTTCACGTTTCCTCTCTCTCTCTCGGGAGAAAGTTGCACAATCGCTACCCTGAACCCTTATTCCGGGCACACAGCCAACGTTAAACGCGCCTTTGCACAAATTTTCCAAATTTCATTTTTCTCATATGAGGCGTGACGTTGTTTCAGCTTGAACATCGGAAAAGCGTATTCAGCGTTCGTTACGCGTCCGGAATACGAACCCTGGGTCGTCGTCGGCTCGGCGAGACTCGTGATCCGATACCGTTACCAACGATTAATACGCGTCGTTGCGTGGCCCTGACAAAATTGTGCGAGAAAAACGAACGAACGAAACTAAACGTGACGGGTCCGCAATGATTTCTCGAGCGCGACCGAGTCGGAGGAATCGATATTCAGATACTCGAGAGATACGTCGCCGAGGCAAAAATTCAGCTTCGAAATTCGCTCGGCACCGGACGGACATCGTGCATGCACTATGATAACGTGATAACGAGAGAGAAAATGAGAGAGTTCGTCGTAGATGAAAGAGCGTAACCACCGATTACACTCGGACGGGACAAACGCCTAAGAGAAATAGGACACTCGCTGCAACTTGTCGCTCATGTGCACGCTCTTCTACTTACTCGACCACTTTATACGCGCTCTGATAAGGCGTCTGTTGCACGGGGTTGCCGAAGACAGCGAGCGGTCTCAGGGGTATGTTTTCCTCCATGCCCGTCAGCCGTAGATCCATTCCCATTTGGTTCATCGCGCCGTCGCTCAGACCACTAACGAGTATTATTTTATATAAATTCACTGTAATTAGCGAAACGCACTATGGCTACTTGATGAATTCTTATCTATCCCCCCTCTCTCTAACTTATCGGGAATCATCACCGGATTAACCAGCTCCTGATTGCGACTCGCTGTGACTATTCTTATTTAATGACGTCAAAAGCGAGAAAATGCGCGCCAAGATTTGTTGCCTTATATTTTCAAATAAAAAGGATGTATCTACAAAATAACATTTGTGATCGACTCAACACGCTTGTTTTGGACAAATATTTTTCTTTAATTCGAACCAATCAATAAATAATCGCAAAATTAATTTAACATGAAACTTTTATTTCTAACACCTTTTCTCATGATTTTGTCAATGTTAATTTTACGACTATTTATTGATTGGTTTGAATTAAAGAAAAATACCCGTTGAATTTTACAAGTATCCTAAATCGACCACAAATGTCATACTGCTAACATTTTGCTTACTGAGTGTGTATATGTCTGTGCTGGAAACTTACCCCGCTACATTTGGCACAACTTGGTGAGACCTCGCAGTGATTTGATTGGCGGCATCCGGGCCACCAGTCCTCTGCAACGAAGAATACGGCAAAAAGTCTATGGAATTGGTCGGGGAAGCCTGTGAAAGTACTCTGCATTAATGTAACGCTCGTGATTTGTTAGAAAATACGATTTCGTATGCCTGCATACCTTCGCAGCGGTGGAGTTCACTTTCAACGATCTCGCCCTATGGAAGCTGTGATGTCCTTTCCGCATGCTGGACCACACGCTGCCAAAGAGCGAGTGGTTTCTCTGAAAAAAATGCTTCTTCGTTGAGTTGCACAGTAAGAAATATTTCCATCTAGATAAATATTAGCAAATTATAATAAACACTGAGAGAAAAAATATTTATTCAGTAGATATTCATAACATATTTGTTTATAAATTCAAATTCTTTTATTTAAATATAGAATAAACAATTGCTATTTCACATTCAAAGCTACAGATTTAAAAAATGTATATTCTTTCATTTGAAAACAATTTTTCCTCAATAATATATATATATATATATATATGTTTAGTACCCACAAAATAAATATTTTTCATTTTTTAGATATTTTTTCTCCCATTGTACAATCGTTGTGAATTATCATTATTTAATTACTAAACAGCTTTTTGGATATGAAAATATGCTAGTACCATGACACTCACCCTGTGCATAGGCTCCGGATTGTCATCGAGGAGTTCTTCTAAATTACCGGAAATCGCGCGTTTCAACTCGGGCCCGGCTTCATGTAGCGTCCTCAAACCGGCCTTTTAATTTGAAATCTCGTTAAATGGTGTCGTAAAATATTCAATCACGATCCAATAGTTCAAATCACACCGAGTTCTTTATCGATCCTCGAGGAACTCACCTGAAGCGTCACAGTGTTATGGCAATCCTTGTCACCGTCCTTCATTTCCTGCTCCTTGCGTTTCTTGAATCGCCGGAAGTAGTCCTGGATGAGGAAGGTCGCGTAAAACTTGCCGACCGTCACCTCGTCGTCCACTGTGAGAAGAATCGAAATTCCGCGTGAATTCAATGCTGACGCAAAAGAAAAGAGAGAGAGAGAGAGAACTTATAGTATGCTCTTCTATCGGAGACGCTTTCTCACCTCCGGGCGGTGGAACGACTTGATCCAGGAGCTTCGGACTGGTCCTCTTCCAGATCTTCTTGATCACCGCTCTGAGCTCGGCGTTCGCATCGTCGATGTTGCCCTCCGTCTTGATCCTCAACGACGTCCTCACGACGGCGAACAACGTCGCATTGAACAAGACGGTACCGTCACTATTCAGTGGCATGTTCATCGAGACTAGTCTCTGAAAATTAAATTTCACGATCAAACTAATATTCATTTTAGGATTAGGTCTTCAAGATTCACTCGAGTCGCACGCGGCAATTTTTTTCAAGTTTTAGAAATTGATATATCAAGGGCAACGATAAAAAAATTAATTAAAATTCACTTACTCAGATAGCACAAAACATCATCCTGAATGTGCTCAGAACGTCCTAGAACATTGCCCAGAACATCCTGGACACATTCAAGTCAATATTAGTGCGTTTTGTATTGTTTCTGGGCTGGACAATATTTGTAAGATAGTGATTTTATTTCTCGGGACCAGTCACCAATGCGGTCATTCAATATCCTCGATATATCGTTGAGATGGTCCTCATTGATTCTCGCAGTTATAAAATCTTCGTTAAAATCGTCTACCAACCTTACAAGCTACCCTGTGAGGACACAGCTTTCCGAAACCTAAAGGCGGTGATATCTTCCTCAGCAACGTTACCACGTCGAGATGCTTAATACGTCCTTTCGCGTCGGGATCATATTCGGACCACAACCGAATAAACTCGTCCAAGTGATGCGGTCCGAGTATCGACCAGTCTCTCGTTAAGTAATCGAAATTGTCCATGATAACGGCGACGAAGAGATTGATGATCTGTTTTCGAAACGAGAAATGAAAATATACGTACAGCATGAAAGATATTGAATTTAAAATTTGAGTCGAACATTTTTAACTCCAAATTTTTTTTCTACAATTAGAAGTTTGAATAAAAATAAAGCGCCAAGTAGTTATCAGAAGTCATTTTGATGAGATGCACTTACGAGAAATGAGCAGAGCACGTAGAAAGATATGAAGTAGGGAAATGCAACGTCCGATCCGCAGCCGTTCGAATTGCCGAAATCGTCGCTGGCAGGATCGCACATGACTATGCCCGGTTGCGCCGAGCAAGCCATCATGATTTCTTGCCACGACTCGCCTGTGGTCGTAAATGTACGTGTGATTATTACGCGCTAATGTACATTTGATCATTATGTTTTCCCTGATACCAATCTGATTAATAGTAAGCTGAAATTACTGGAAACTTGGTGCGATATCTCGCAGCTAAATCTTATGATCGCTCAATTTTATTATTGAAAGAATGTAACTCTTCTCTCAAATCTAAATCCAATCTATTAGGTGTAGAAATTAATTCGGTGCCTTTAATGTCTTGTAACTCTGGTTCACATTAACATTTTTTTCCTATGGTGATTTGCAAGTGCTTCTCTTAAGCTTTAAGAAACACTATAATAGTTGACGGCCTTGCCAATATAGCCTCAGAAAACAGTAGTTATCACGATGTTGTTCGAAAAGAAGTATCTGAGGCACTGCATCCTTTTTGCACTCGAATTGAATAAAAATGTTGCCCAATCTATCGAAATGATTTGTTCCGCTTTTGGTGAAGGTATTGTGACCCATAAAACTTGTAAAAAGACCGGGAATTACCTTTTACCGGTAATAGAGTTAGGCAGGTGATTCTATTACACGATAATGCATGTGGTCACATATTACAAAAGAGACGAAGGATCTTATCTGTACATTAGGCTGGGAAATTCTCCCTCGTGCGACTTATTCGACAGATCTAACCCCGTTGGATTACCACCTATTTTGGTCGCTTCAACATCATCTGGTGGATGTGCATTTTAAAATAATTGACGAGGTCCGAAAAAGCACTGATTACTTTATTGAGTCAAAACCGTCAAGTTTTTTCCGCGAAGGTACTCATCAGCTACATCAGCTAGATAGGTGGAGTAAAGTCATAGGAAACAATGGAAATGATTTCGAACATTAAACTTGTACTTGACTTTTTGTAAATAAACTTTGAATTTCATAGAAAGGGCACTGAATTAATTTGTACGTCTAATAATTGGTGTTTACAAAAACTCTTTAATTGTTACATACACACATGACATTTACGTTATTTCGCGTACTGTGTGAATGAAATACGTACCCGTCGCCGATCGAAATAGAACCAACACGGCTTGTGGAAAGGACTGGAAATTATTGTTACGATCTATCGCCGTGTCGTCGTCTATCGCAATTTTTCCGAAGACCTGCGGAGAAGAAACGTGAGAAGAAACGTTGTATTAACGCAAAACACGACATCTCTCTCCTCGTCGATCTGTATATCACTCGTGCTCACCTGCATGCCTATCACAGCGTAAATAAAGAACAACATTATAATAAGAAGAGCAACATAGGGCAGAGCCTGAAAAGATTTAATGAACGTCCACAAAAGTGTTCGGATGCCCTCTCCTCTACTCAATAGCTTGACCAATCGCATCACGCGAAATAGCCTGAAGAAGTTGATCGAAATGATGGATGACCCAGGCTGTGGGATCATAAGATAATTATATTGACCGTTCTCGTTCATTAAAAGATGTCGACTTGGAAGCATCAAAGCCGAGCAAAGCGTATACTCACGTTGAGCTCCGAATAAACGATATCGATGAAACTGCCGAGCACGATAATAAAATCGAAGACGTTCCATGCATCGCCGAAGTAATTCTGCAAAGTAATGACGAACACATTTACGGTCCTCTAACATTTTACATGTGACTATCATACATCATGACGTAGTACATCATTATCTGCGTTTTGACATAATTAATAAAATGAACGAACGACGAACAGCGTTGGCTGGTTCACGAATTATCTCAATTTTGACAATAGCTTATGAAAAAAAAAAACATTCGGAAACGAAGGTTGAACAATAGCTAGAAATAACCGTTGGACAGTGTTTTAAATTGTATTATACTTATAAAATTGTATTATACTTATAAAAAATAATTGTCCGCCTAGTGTAACAATGTGTTTCAACTCGCCCCAGTCTCCCCTACTTGATAATTCCCCTTGCAAGAATTTTAATAACCCAAGAGAGTCGATATTTATAAATATAATGAAATAATACTATATTAGAAAAATAAAATGTAATGAATTAATGAATGTTAAGAACATATAATTAATATAATAATGATATATCGGAAAGATCAGGCTGGTACCTTAAATCGAAATGCTGCTAGCTTGAACACAAACTCCATGGCGAATACTGCGGTGAAGATCATATTGAGAACGTCCAAGGCGTCCGTGTATATCTGCGGTTGCCGGTAAAATTTCATCGCGAGCGTCACGGTGTTGATCATAATTAACGTGAATATCGTGTACTCGAAGGGTTGAGAGGTGACGAACCACCAGACTTTGTACTGTATTCGATGCTTCGGTATATATCGCCGCACTGGCTTAGCCTTTAGCGCGAACTCGATGCAATTTCTCTGCGAACGGTGAGATAACCGTCGAACCAAATTCTAATATCCTCGTAATGAGGCCTCGTGTAAATAATCCAAGGTGTCAGGACACATTAAAAGAATTTCACATGTCAACGTGTTACATGTTATTAACAGTATTTGCCGGTATCTAGATAAAATGATCTAAATTATCCAGATGAATAAATAGATCCTCTTTATCTTCATCTAGATGAAAGAAATACAAAATATATTCATCAAAAAAGGAAAGGTTACTTCATTAAAATTATCTGGAATGATGTTATGATCCATATCCTGAATTCATTTTTCAATAAAATGAATGAAATAATATAGACCTATACGTTAAACCCGTATCAAACCAGGAACTGGAGAGATTTCAACGAATAATTAAATTTCGGTTTTGTCTCCTTTGGTCTGTTCTTTTTAATAGCATTGCTGAACTAGTGCAACTAAAATGAACAGACCATTTGTTTCAATTGATTAATCCATTGTAAATCCGTATCAAACTGTCGACTGTAAAGGCCGACCCAACTGCCGATTACGACTGCCAACTCTTAATGGACTAATTACAATAGACTAGAATAGATAGTTAAATAATGCTTCACTATGATAGGCCCTTCAAGAGTCGACAGTCGCAACCGCCAATCAGATCGGTCTTCACAGTCAGTAGCCTGATGTGGGCTTTATAAAAAAAGACTAAAATAATGCATTCAGAAAACACAGCGATTAGTGAGCAGTCAATGATTGATCTTTTTTGTTAGATCTTTAAATTTAGAGCAATTACGTTGACTAATTACTTAACTGTATAATGTTGTGTAATTTTATGATCTGCGTAATTTTTATTATAAATAGCGCTACTTATCTTTCACCTAAATAAATTAAAAGCAAAATCATCTTTATCTCGTTTAAGATGAATTTTTCGAATTTTCATCTCATCTTCATCTAGATGAATTTGAAATCATCTAAGGCAAACACTGGTTATTAACAATTCGAAAACAGTTCACCTGATTTTTATCGAGCTCGCAGTTTTTGTACTCTTGCTCGCCCTCGTTCTGGAAGGTGACGATGACGAAACCGACGAAGATGTTCACCATGAAGAACGCGATGATGATGATGTAGATAATGTAGTAAGCGGCCACGATCGGCCGAAAGTTATGAATTGGTCCATGATTCTCTTGATTGGAGTCGATCGACCACTCTAATAGTCTGCAAGCAGGCGCGAAAAATATCATTAATATCTCTCGGATAACGGTTTACTATTTCCACTAATCTCGCAGTATCATCGTCGTAGTGAAACTCTGTTTCTTTGTCGAAATAATCCGGAAAATAAGATATCAACCAGGCTCAAGAAAAAAGCGAAAGAAAGAAGCCGAGGAACTAAGGAAAGAAAGGCAGACGAAAGAAAAATGTAAGGAACGAGTTTCCCCGCGAAAACTTTGTCGTATCTCGAACGTCGGTCGGATTGTTTCGAGGGCAAAGTTTGCATCACAGCAGCCATTTCGCTGTATTTAATTTGCGACTGAGCTCCACGAATCAATGTGCCTTGCCACACAATACAAATGTACTTACGATGGCCAACCTTCGAAGGTCGAGACCGTAAAGAGGGTTAACATCGCCTTGGCAACGTCATCGAAGTGAAAACGATACTGCTGCCATGATCTCTCCCTCACGATCGGTTTATTGATATTACCGTTTTCGAATTCCAAATAAGTACCCCTGCAAAGGAAAAATGATCCTGCACTGTATCCTGAAAAGTGCGCTCTGCTCGAAATTTCCGATTGCCCGCGAACGCATTAAGGATATCTCGCTTTCTTCTTATCCTCCTTATTACGTTACGCGTAATATAGCTATTAATTTGCAACGTAATTCGGGACTTACTGGCATTCGTTCTTCGTCATTTTCGATGCGTCGGTACAATAGAAAAACTTGCCCTATTCAACATAAGAAATTCGTCAATTTCGATCGTCGTGATTACGTCCGTTAATATATCGAGCTATAGGACACACGACATTTGAAAGCTGTGCATGATACTGGCGCTCTTGAAATTCAATTCAAACGTCATTTGCTACGTTAAACAGCTGTCTTCTGCGAACTCCTCAAGTTCACTGCATCATATGTACAGCGCATTTTATTTACTGTGAGTAGGAGAAACGAGTCCACAATAGCCTGGTTACATGACAATTGCTTGAGCTGAAATACTCTATGTACAAATTCCATTTCCATATTGCATTATTTTTTAATAACGAATTTTTCGGTTAATTCGAAGTCGGATTTTCTTCAGCGAAAATGTCGAGGCACCGATATTCTCGGAATCATAAACAATTACACGGAGAAAACAAGTTTTGTTAGAATAATAAATTGTTATTAATATAATGACAGCAAAAAAATTAGTTATACGGAAAAAAGAATTTTGCTGACGTGTGTAGTGAAACATCGTTACGACAGCAATAAAATTTAGTTGGCATAACCAAATTATTTTGCTGTCCATATATCCAGCAAATGGCAATTAGTATTTTTAACAAATCTTGCTACAATCCAAACAAATTTTTGTTGTTGTCATTATATTAACAAGCAATTTGCTGTTCTAGCAAATTTGTTTTCTCCGTGTAAAGCTTCTCGCGAATTAAACTTCAGAATGTCAAATAAACGCCAAAATTACGTTCTTCGACTAATTTCAGGTGGAGTTTGCTTTAATGAAATTTTCACCCAAAACTTACTTGCAAAGGTAGGAAATACTAAAAATTAAACATTTGCAAGAGACAATGACTTTCCTCGACATTTTCGTTAAGAAAAAATCGTCTCCAAATTGTCCAGAGAATCTGCTGTCATAATAAATAATGCTATAGAAGTAGACTATTTCGTGTGCATGTAATTAAAATATGCCTCCGCTTTTAATTACGACAAGAGAGAAAAATAACATTATTGCCAATAATACAGTTCCGACATTTACTCTCCGACTCGTTGCGAGAGACAAAGTTCACGTGAAATTGCACTTGAAGATCGCCAGCATGTCTGGTTATACGTGAGCGGTGTGAATCGGCCATTCCTGCGAGAGAGCATTGTCAGCGAACAGCAACAACGAGTGATCGAGCAAATTAAGAGGATGTTAACGTGAGGCAGACGTGATGGAAAAAGGAACATTCCTTGTCGGCACGTGCACACATATGTACAACGAGGTACGAAGCGATGCGTGGGTTCCTCGACGATTTCGCGACCAGGTTCAGGTGTGTGTGATAGATAAGCGTTTTGTCACGTCGAGACTCGGCAATGGAGACACACGGACATCGAGTGCTGGCATAAGCACGCTGAGGGAGAGGTGTTCGTGACTTTTCGGGTTCTTCGTCCTCCTCGCTTCGAAACCTTCGAAAGCCGCGCACCCATGTGGACAGAATCCAACCTCACTCGGATAAAAACGTAGTTCGAAGTCGGCGCGTCGACATCCGTCGCAATTATTGTTATTATTACATTCGCTACCAGCACATATGCGACGCGAAGATCTCTCAGCCACAGAGACCAACGTCAGATATGTGTGACTGCAGACAATTTTTCTTCTGTGTCTACTTTATCGAACTAAGTCTCTTTTACACAATCACATAAAGAAAGTACACAGTAGGGAGAATCCTCCAACTGCGACGCCCCATCCAGCTGGCGGAATGTGAAAACGGTTCCATGGAACGCAGGTGAGAGGTGATTGAAGGAAAAAAAAAGAGGGAAAAATAATTTTACTATTGTAGCGAAACCATCGTTGCCACTGCAAATTCGTTGCGACGGTAAAATTTAGTTAGCATAACCGAATTAGCAAATTATTCATAATTCTCTAATTATTCATAATTAGAGCAGAAATAGCTTTGTTGTCAGGATAGAAAATATTCCGCTGAGTGAATTTGTCTTTAGGTTAATTTGTTTTTTTTACGTTAATTTGCTGTTAAAATAAAATAATGTTCTACATTTAATAATTTATTAATTTATTCTTACAGCAAAATAATCCAATGAGTTGGCAATTAGTATTCTTAACCAATTCAATGAGTGGCAATTAGTATTCTTAACAAATCATTTTGCTGTCCATGCGGACAGATTTTGTTGCAATAGTATACAATTTGCTGTATCAGTAATTATTATTCTTCTCCCCGTGAGTCCTCTAAAATACCTCTCTGGTAGCGAACGTGTTATTATTATATTACAATTATCATTAATTATTACAAATATTATTAATTTTTTTTAAATTTATTCAGCGCTCTCTGGGATAAATTCCCTAAAGTGCATTATTCGCGAGGAACACCCTCGCCGGTCTTCCGAACTCTCACGCGCGGGGCTTTCTATCACTTGATGATCGCGCGATCTCGTCCATTTCGCGCTATCTCAGCTACCATCAGCGTTTCGATCTCCTTTCCTTCGAGTTACCGGATGCGGTGCGTCGCGCGCCGTTTGAAACTCACGGCGACACATCAGTGAGAAATTCTAACGGCGTGAGAATTAAATTCGTTCTTAGACGCGTCTTAGTTGCCTCGACTAGAATGCGCATTGTCGCCCGTTCGGGTCTTCGTGAAAGCACCATCGGATGAATACATGAGGATTAAATATAAAGGAGCTTGCGAAAGTTCGTCGGATTGTCAGCTATGTTTCTTTTATTAATAGTAACGGGGCAATAGATACCATGTTCAATCAGAGTTGGGAAAGTTTATTTTCAAAAGTAATTCGTTATACCTCCCGTTACTGTTACTCGGGAAGTGAAACGAGTTAGTACAATTTCCGTTACATTTTTTACGAAGTTTCAGAAGCCTTTTCTTCACGATAACGTTTGTATTCCCGTATAGCACAAATGTTCAAAAGACATCCTAGAGACGTACCGAAGACGTTCGAATATCCTTGGAATGTCTCTAGAATGTGTTTGGAATATTTATGCTATATGAGTTCGTTACTGTTGTTCAAAATAATAAGATTGTGTCATCAATATATAGTAAAGGTATTCCTTTATTAATGGAAATAAAAATAACGCCGTTACCAAGTTGTGACTGAAAAAAATATCTTGTAACGGTAACAGCCTTACAAAAAATGTGTTATTTCCCAACTCTGCACGGAGAAAAAGATTTTGCTGGTACAGCAAAAAGATTTGTTGCACGAACAAAATAATTAAAAAAAAATAATAAAAAAAAAACAATTTGCTGTTGTAACAACATGTCGCTGCGACAGCGATAAAACTTTAGTTGACATAACCAAATTATTTTGCCGTCCAAATATCCAGCAAACAACAATTAATATTCTTAACAAATCTTTTTACTGTCCAAACAAATCTTTTTGCTGTCTATTGACTATATTGACAAACATTTGCTGTTTTAGCCAAATTTGTTTTCTCCATGTGGCGAGCCCCTGATAATACACGGCACTTTTCATGGCGGATCTGACGCGCCAACCGAGGCAATACCGAAACATTCACCCATCCAGCGGATCCCGTTCGTCGGGCTTCGCAGCGCGCGTGGTTCTTTTTTCCTCTTTTTTTTCGAAAAGTAAGCTCGGAAGAGCGCGGCGAGGGTATATTTTCAGCGGGCGTGCGCGCTGTGTCGCTGCGCCTCGCGCGCTAAAAGGTCGCAATTTGCGGATATGCGCCCGCTCTGTGTGTCATGCTCCGATGAAAACACCGTGTCTCTACACGCATGACCGAGAGAGAGAGAGAGAGAGAGAGAGAGCCGGTCATCATCTGCCGACATGGCGCGCGCGTGCTTTTGCACGGACTATGTGGGAAAAAAGCACGAACAATGGGCCACCGTGACGCGCCAAATTGTACTAATTGCTACCTAACACGAGCTGGTGCGGGCTAAAATAACGAACAGATTGTAACAACGCAGTCCCTCCCCCGCTGACAGCGCGTCGTTGACGACTTTGCGATCACACTTGCCCCTTCCTCCCTTCCAAACCCCCGTCCGCCCACCTATCCCCTTTTTTTATAATCCATAATTGCTTGCAAGTAAAAAAGCACAGGCGTTATATATATATATACGTATATCGCGGCTCGTGCAGAAGCATATGTACTGTCATCGTTCGTACGTTCGTATGTTCGCCCGGCGATACACACCACGTGTGTATCCCTCGTTTTCTCGCCCTTATCCTCCTTCTCGTTGATACATCGGTATGTCGACTCGGATTTATCTGATTTATTCCCTTCGTCTTTCCTCCTCTTTTTTGTTTTTATTTTATGCGTCGATCGGAACGTCGAGTGTATTTTGCATTCTCTGCGCGCACTCGCACAGTCAACGGGTCGAATAATATTTGCATTGGAAGAGAATATTTGTATAAATTCTTGTATAAACTCTTGCGACTAGTGGTGATGGTGGTAGTGGTCGTGGTGGTTATGGTGGTGATGGTGGTGGTGGTGGTGGTAATTTTGGGGAAGTCGCTCATGCTTGTTGAAGTCGATGGCCGCCGCGCGCGATAAAATGAATCGAAGTGCTCGATCAGCTGAGGAGCGCGATGTGCGTGATGATCCGAATTCCAGTTCGCGAATTTCGACGCGAACCGTCGCAATTACCTAATTGCTGCCTTTAATGGTCACTACAGAAATGTAGTACACTGAAATGTAACCCGATAGGCGGCCGGATAACTCGCCGTGATACGTGGTTTGTCCCGAAATCACCGACCGTCGATGATGCACCGCAGTATACTGCGGACCGGTGTCGCCGCGATTCGCGTTATTATTATCGAATATTTCCACGCGTTTTCATCACTGCCTCGTTATTCGCTCTCATCCGTGCATTCTCACGCGTACGCGCAATTTTAACGAAGGGACGATGCGATAAATATATATATATATATATATATATATTCGCAGTCGCGCGAAAACACGCGCGTGCGATATCTCCGCGGATATGCATGTTAATTAATTTCAACAGGCAACGCGTCAAATATCCACCGACTCGCACCTCTTCGCTTCGTGTTT